AGGCCGTGTGCCATCGAACGGAATAGGTGGAAGTCAGAAGGGGCGACATCTGGGAAATACGACGGGTGGGGCAAGATTTCCCATTTCAGCGTTTCCAGGTACTTTTTGACCACTTTTGCGACGTGAGGCCGATCATTGTCGTGTTGGAGGATGACTTTATCATGTCGCTCTTGATATTGTGGCCGCTTTTCTTTTAGCGCGCGACTAAGGCGCATCGGTTGCATTCCGTAGCGATCTCCTGTGATAGTTTCACCCGGTTTTAAGAGCTCGTAGTAAATCACACCGAGCTGATCCCACCAAATACAAATCATAACCTTGTTTGTCTTCGACATCGAAATCACTATTTTTAAAACGTTGAAACCAGTCCCGACACGTTCTTTCACTCAGAGCAGCATCACCGTAAGTTTCTGAGAGCATTCGATGCGCTTCAGCTGCATTTATTTTCGAATTGTAACAGAAAAATAAAACTTTCCGCAAATGGCGAGAATTAGGCACATAAAGGGACATTTTTGAGCGTGAATAATACGAAAACAAGAACAACTGTCACTGAAACGGCGATGACATGACGGCATTTCGTTTGGCACTGTCCACACTCACTTTAAAGGCATTTAAAGGCATCTAGGTATTTCAACCAGCCTCAGCCGGTACAGCCACCTATCGGAAAACGGCGGAAGCAAAGTTGTACACCTGTAGATGGAAATACTAAGCTTCCCCATCTTTCCCTCCTTATGGTATCATTTTGTTGACTTCTAGATACCTCGCTCTATGATGTTCTGTTCTGTTACAGTCAAAAACTTCTGACAAAACCGGATACCGTTTTCAAAGAGCTCTTGCCTTTTTGCATTACATCCCCCCCGCGCACAGCAGATGAAGAAAGTAATAGTCTTTGGCTAGTTTGTTTTCCTTACTTACTTTCTCAACATATACGAGTATATAATAAATTCAGAAGTCTCGACGACTACGTTGTAGAAGAGACCGCCGCTAATTGAAATGATAAATTTACAATTTCATGCTTTCGTTTTCAACAAGCTAATATTTATACAAGATTTTACATGTGTACATAATCTTAATATCAAGAAAGAATCTTTTATGTTGGCTACAGGCATTGCTGCATTAGAATTTGTTTCACAAAAGCATTAACACGTTTACTCGCCACATTTGTATAAACGCCAGGATATTCCTTTCGTGCACAGCCGAAACCCCACGAAACAATACCACAAACGCGACCGTCATAAACTACCGGCCCGCCAGAGTCGCCCGAACAGGAGTCCCGTGCACCGGGTATAGTCGCACAGAACATGGTGCTTGTCAGCAAGGCCTTGCCCAAATAGGCCTGCATGCAATCACTCTTGGGCACGACACGCACAAGTGTCGTACGCACCTGATTTGGAGGTTGCTCGCTATATTCGCTGGTTATACCCCAGCCGGATATTTTTACAAACTCATCATTGCCCGGGTTCTTGCTGCACAAACCAATTGTTGCGATATTGGGACCACTTAACGGCTCGGCTAATTTCAAAATCGCTACGTCCATATCCAAGGTGTTGGTTGAGTAGAATGGCGATGTAAAATGCTGTGCCACCTGACGCATCTCACCCACATCGGATAGACGACTAGCGCCTGCGTGCACAGTTAAGCTGGAAGCAGGCACACCCTTCACGCAGTGGGCAGCTGTGAGAACACAATGTGGTGTTAACAACGAGCCGCCACAAGAGAATTGTCCGCTGCGTCGTAAATTTAACAAATATGGCACCTCCTCTATGGTAGTCTGCTGGCCGCCCACTATTTTACCATCCAAAAGTGTGGCGAATTCGTGTGCAACGATATTCGGATTGAATTGCACAAAAAATATAAAATAGAACAAGTGGCGAACTAGCGGATAACGGAAATGCATTTCCATTCGTATTGGCCATTGATCGGACGATGAGCTGAATTGAACTGTGAGTTAGCTACGCTCCTCAACGTCAAAAGTAAGCCAAATTAAACCATTACAACCCCAAAATGCTCATTCGTGATATGTTGAATGGAAGTACAATAGCTCCATCCTTTGTATTGCGGGTTATTATAAGTACATATATACTTGTCAATGCAAATAATGTAATTGGGCAGTTTAATAGTTGAGCTCGTCTCTACTACTTGGCAGGCAGTCATTAGGGTGTTCCTTATTTGACATGTTGACTTTCCGACTTTGACATCATCTAAGTCTAAACAAGAATAATTGAGTGATTGGGTAAAACTTTTGACTGCTAATTTGGGTAAAACTCAGATACTTGCACTTCAAAGACGACCATAATCTACAGAGGGAACCGTCAACTAAACAAATCGCTTGTTGAGAGGTCTTGCAGAAAGAACAAAAAGAAAGAATAGAAACATAATTGGCAACAAACGAAGCAATCAGTCAACTTGTTTAAGTCAGCATCGCCCTAAGCTGATATCTACCGCATACTTTTAGGCATTACCTTATTGCTACCAGCCATTTTTTATATTTATGTATGTATATATGCCATGTACATGTACGATTCTCAAAAAACTAAACTCACTTGTCTATCAGATACTAACACATCGCGGCTTACACATGCCGAAAGCTCTAAATCGGTAAGGGGTAGAGCCACTCTTGAGGTTGAAATATATATTTTCATATTTAACCATTTGTTAGGACATATATTGAGTAAAAAAAAGTATTCTTTAATTATTATTTTGGTACAAAATAACGGTGCTCAAGTTCATTATTTAATTCATGTTCTTTTGAAGGGTGCGAGAACCGATTTCGCGATTTGAAATATGTTTTTCACTTTGAAACCAATTGCTTATCATTTCTAGGACCCTAAGGTACTCTGTGAGCAAAAAAAAAACTTAGGTTTTCCAAAATCCTAGACCGGCTTACCCCTTAAGTGCTATAAACTACACTTACAAAATCGCTTGGAGCGATAGAGTATTCTCTACCAATTTCCAAGAGCCACAGCGCTCAATAATTTCTCCAAGTAAAATATAAAATGCTCACCTTTCCTTGCCGGAAAACTCCATTCTCTAACACCATTCGCAGGCAGTGAATTATCTCCTTAATGCACAATTCAGCTCAAGTGAATTTAGCAGCTTAAGTCTAATCCTCAACCTTCAAGCAAAATGGAAAGAATCTCTTCATGTTGCCAAACATTGAAGGAATTTAAAGTAGCTAAGGGAAGAGAGTAAAATGATATGACGACACTAATTTCTCATCTCAGTTGTATTTTAACCATGGGGGGATAATGTTATCACCTCAGGGGTGCACCAAGAAGCCTTTATTTCGTACCAGAAATATTTTCGAAGGGATTGACATCCCTGCCGAAGGTTGATCAAATTAAACATAAACTTTATAGACCAGCAATCGAACCAACTACCCTTCAGCTAGTAGCACGTACTGCTTCTTCCTCTTGTACTGCGCCCACCAAGGAATGGTAAAATTATTTCCAAATTTATACAAAACAATGTTTTTTCAGTTGGAAAATGTCGTGTAAATAAAAACGTCACTTTGCAGTCTAGAGCAAACTGAAAATTTGGAACACCAAATGTATATTTAGAGAAATGTGCACTAATATTATATCTCTTAAGCAAATATTCAATATTTAGATACCAAGGTTAGGGTATTTGAACGTAACACATTTCGCAACAAAAACACAAATTCATGGGCAAAGCAGACAATGGCGATAGAATTTCTAGTGTTTCCATTTTGTCATTGTGTGAGTAGAAATACGAAGCAACACTTAATTTGAAAATGGCGACAATGGCGACAAATTCAAGTTCATGAACTTAATTGGCATACTTCTGGGGGAACGTAAATAATGATAAATTCTGATGAAGAGAATCTCGACTACACATCGGCGAATAAAAAGTAAAAAGTTCGGTTTTTATCCAAGAGATGGCGTTATTGTCCATAGTACTAGTGTTACGTGTCACGCATCATGGCATACTATACGGCGCTGAAAACGTGTTTTTTCGCGCTAAAAGTTTGTCTTTGACAGTTTTTCGATTGATTGACTTAGTACGTTGTGAACGCTCGCCAAAGATGGACACCAGCAAACAGAGAATTCGCTATATTTTCTTCTTTGATCAAGGCGATAGAGCAGAGAAGCGGGTAAAAAAATTAATTTAGTTTATGGGCCCGATACTGTAAACGAACGTGTAGTACAAAAGTGGGTTGATAGGTTCCGTTCCAGTAATTTCGATGTAAGATACACCGCGCGTCGGATAAAGTATTCAAAAAGAAGCTCGATGTTTGGGTGCCACACGAACTGAAGCAAAAAAACATGTTGGATCGAATTTCCATCTGCGAATCGCTGCTGAATCGCAACAAAATCCACCCGTTTCTGAAGCGGATTATGACTGGCGATGAAAAATGGGTCACTTACGAAAACATCGAGCGCAAACGGTCGTGGTCAAAGCTCGGGGACGGCCAGTAAGGTTTTGCTGTGTGTTTGGTGTGATTGGCAAGGAATCATCTACTACGAGCTGCTCCTCTATGGCCAAACGCACAATTCGGCCCTCTACTTCCAACAAATGGACCGTTTGAAGGCAGCACTCAACCAGAAGACTCCATCTTTGATCAACAGAAACCGACAAGACAACGCCAAGCCACACACATCTTTGGTGACGTCTGCTCGTATAGCACATTTTTGGTTCGTTATTTGTAGTATAAATTATTTATTTTTTCGCAAATTTCTTGCCCGAAAATATAAGACAAAGATATTATGCATTTAAAATAAATATATGTATTCAAAAATTTTTTTGGAATTATTAATTTTGTTTTGATTTCCTATTACAAAATCCACTAACCGAGAAGATCTGCCGACGGACAACAACAGTGTTCGAATGTAAATGTGAAATATGAGACAGCTGAAGATAAGCCAGTTGTTTCTTCTTTTCTAAGTTCAACGCAAAAGATTAAAACGTTTAATTTTAAAATGTAACATCAAAAACATAAATATATATATAAACAATATTTAAAAGTTATTGTGAATGTACATATATGATATCTTCATATATAAATTAATATCCACATAGTCGATTTATCTCTAATCTAAATAGAACTATATCACGCAAAAGTAATTACATACAATAATTTACACTTTACCCTATTTCCTGCTTATGGGTACTGCTTCAGCACCTTTTCGATAAAACTATAAACCTTACTAATGTCGGTGTAAACGCCTGGGTATTTGACTCGTGCACAACCCATGCCCCACGATACAATGCCAGCCTGTTGTCCATTGCAGATCATAGGCCCGCCGGAGTCACCCGAACATGAATCCTTTTTACCCGGCTCCGAAGCACACATCATATACTGCGTTATTACGCCAGTACCGCGATATTTGCGTTGACAAACCGCACGATTAACCACGGGCACTTGGATTTCCCGCAATTGCGCTGAAGCCACACCATCCTCCTTCGTATAGCCATGTCCAATAACCAGACAGCTCACACCATTAGCCACAGCCTTTTTATCTAGTGTGATAGCTGTGAAACTACCACTAGGTATGGCTGTGGCGAGTATCAGCACGGCCACATCATAATTGAGTGTGGACGGATTGTATGATCTTGAAATGAGCGCATTTTTAACTGGCCGCACAACGCCAGCATCAGATAAATTAATGGTATCGGCGTGTATACGCAGTGCTTTCACGTTCGCGCCCTTGACACAGTGTGCTGCGGTGAGAACAGCGTTGTTCCGCACCAACGAACCACCGCACTTGAACTCTCCTTGATAGTGCAAGCGCACATAATAGCGATATTTCTTTTGTGTCACCGCACTGCCGCCCACAATACGCTCGGATACTTTGGCTGAATAAATATGGCCTAGAGCACAATATAAAATTAGTTGCAAAATTAATTGGAGATTGATGAAACACATAGCGTGTCGCTGTGAAACTGAGTGCGTTCGCATGGGGGCATAGCGTATTTATATGACGGTTGCGTTTGCAGTCGAGCTTTGTTGGTTTTTATCGGGGAAAGATTGCGAGAGTTACTGATAGCATTCCCTAGTTATAAGTCTCTTTTGCTCGCTTGCATGTATCCGGCTAATAAGGACTTAGACTCGAGGATTCGCTTATGCACTCCTTTTTACAAAGCTTTCTGCCTCTCTTTTTCTTTTCTTTCCATTTCATTTATTTCCTTTGGTCATTTCTCGCAAATAATATCAGATTTATTTTATTGTTACTTTAGATTATTAGATTCATTTGAATAAATATTTTTATCTCTGTGCATTTAGCTTTTATTGCCGTTGAGTTTCGGGATCCCGATATTGCTTTTCCATCGATTTCATAATTCGAGACTGACCTTCACTGGCTGCAAAAAATGTAAAACCGAATGCCTTACTTTTGTATTGTCGGTTGGAAAATGAGTTTTGAATAAACTAAATGTTAAGTTTTCTATTAAGCTTAGTAAAGCTTTACACGAACAAAAACAACATCTTTGTTAACCCGCTCCGTCGTTGAGTCCAAAATACCGACTCGAAACCGACTTTTTATTTGAAAATTACAATTCTGGCTTGTAGTAAAAAAGTGTTTGTTCGAAATTTCAGTTTCTGTTTCAGAGTAGTCACTTTTTTCGAAATTCCTATTTTTTTTTTGTTCTTAAACACCACTTTTCGAATACTCGCTTTTGTTGGGAAATTACATTTTGTTTAATAGTAGATATGTATTTCCATTGAAAATTAAATTTTTAATTTAATTTTTTTCTTCGAAAGATTCATAACTTTGTAAAAAATGGTAAAATTAATTCTTCGAACATTTCAGTTTTGAAAAATTTCGATTTTTTCCAAAAAGTCCATATTTATTTAAGGCGAAAATTATTTCGTTCGAAATTTCCATGTCTGAAGTAAAATACAATTTTTTTTTTGTCGGAAAATACCATTTTGCTTTGAAACAAAATATAATTTCACTTACGATTAAAACAAAGATCTTATGCATTTCTTCTTATAGTCATCGGTTTCCATTTTTATGCCATCATATCCTTCACCTGGGCCTTCTTTCACCTCATCCACATGACTTTTCTTCCTGAGACTTTCATCTGTTTGGTAAAATACATTTGTCTAATCTGGGAGTGACTCAAAAGTAGGTTACTTCTTTGAAGATGATGCCGAAATCGAAAATAGTGTTCGAAAACTATTTAAGACGTCATAGGGCCGATTTAAAGATCGGATAGTAAATGGTTTCGACTCTGCTAGGACTCAACCAATTTTGAAATGTTTCTTCTATAAATATCTAAATCCAGAAGCAAAGTACGAATTTCCATGAAGTTGAGTATTTCGATTTCGGGACACTAAAGTAGAGTTATTAACATCTCTACTTATATTATTTCCCTATTACACATTTACACACATCTTCGAACGATTTTTGCATGTGATGGAATAAACTAATTAAAAAGCACATTAAATTATTTGTAAGCATTACACATTATGGCGGATCGCTATTGTCTCTGAGACAATACCAAATATTTCATAATATTTTTAAGTAAAATAGTTATACATACATATACAATTGGCGCTTTGTAACCGCTGAAACAATTTTTGGTTTTTGCGTATTGATGTTTATCCAACAAATGGAGTGAGCTACAGTTTATATTGAGCCACCTCCGATCGGCTGATGGTTTTTCATGTCAGAAATGCCGTCGGACAGGTTTACATTCCTTGCCAAGGGACCGCGGCCGCTCGTTATACATATGAGTATGTATGTATTATACACGTATACGAATATATTAGAGCAGCTAACTAGCAGTAATGTTATAAAATGTAACTTTGATTGTGGCAAAAAAGAAGATTTGTTTTCGAAAAGTTTGGTCACTATTATTATTATTTTAAAATAAATACAAAATTCTAGGAGAACAAATTCATTCGATCCGTTTTTTCTGTTCACAACTACATCATTCAAAGTGTTTTCTATCTCATTAATAATTAACTACTCTCTGTATGACTTATCGGTTGGCGCAGATTTACCATAAACTTCCAGAAGCATTCGATGGGCTTTAGCTGTACTTCTCATCCATTCAAAATAAAAAATCTGAACTTCCCGAAAATGTTGTTTATTTAACATAAATCTGGACTTAATCGCTTCCAAGATCGGTCAAAACTTGCAGGCGGAGCCATCTTTTGTGCCCACAGTGTTATCTTTATCTAAAATATCTCGGTTAATAAGTAATCTATCAGGAAAAGATCTTTTTTTTTTTAGAAAAAATTGAGTATTTTATGAGCTTTTTTTTTTTAGTGATACTAAATGAAACGCGTAATAAATTCGTGTTGTGGCCAAAATCGCTGTGACTGGCTCGATGGCCAATTTTCGACAATAGAGGCCGTATTTCAGCAATAACACGCCGAATATTCTCTTCCAAGGTGTCAATCGTCTCGGGCTTATCTGGCATTTCACATAACCACACAAAGAAGTCCAGCGGTGTTAAATCGCACGATTAGTTCCAAAAGTCGTCCACGTCAACATCCTCCAACTCGAGTCAACTCATTAACGGTGGCTGCGTAGCGTTCCCTATTGACTGTAGCATTATAGCCGGCTCTTTTTTTTTTAAATATGCGCCAATGATTTGCTCTGCCCATAGACCACACCGAACAGTGACTTTTGAGGATTTATTAGCATCTCAACAGGGCCTTGTGGACGTACCCAATTAACTATCATTAGTTAGGTAATAAATTTGTACGATGTGCCAACGTTATTCCGGAAAAAATGTGCTTAATTTGAAATCGCAAGCCAAACTAAGTATAAATCAAGTAAGAGCTGTCAAGAAGACCTACTCCGAAAAATTTATTACCTCATTGAAAACCACACATCTTAAAAAATACTAATGAAAACTAAATTTTGAGTTTCCGGCTGTGGGTCAGAAAATGTTTGCATAAATTTTCTGGGTTGAGTCCGTAAATTTCTTTTCCAATTAATATATCACTAAATGTGATAAATTTTCGTTTTCAAAAATATTTGCGCTGTTTAAAAGAATAAATAAATTTTATTTTTCGGTTAACTTCGCCTGGAAGGAAAGGCATGTAATTTATTTACAATAATTTTAATTTTTCTTTTTATATAATATTTTTGCTGATATGAGGCTTATAACTCAACATCTTCGCCTTAATCCTTTCAAACATGGATTTCCTAAGGATACTGTTCCAGAACTTTTTCAATAAAACCGTAAATCTTGCTTACGTCAGTGTAAACGCCTGGATATAGTGCTTTACCACAGCCATAACCCCACGACACAATTCCAGCTTGCCTTTCATTGCATACCATTGGGCCGCCGGAATCACCAGAACACGAATCCTTGCCCGGTGTCGAAGCACACATCATAGACGGCGAAATATATTCCCTAAATGCATATTTGATTTTACAAAGTGCGCGACTCAACACAGGCACCTGAACCTCTTGCAATTGAGCTGAACCCCAGCCATTCTCACTTTGGAGGCCATGACCCATAACCAGACACTTCATACCTGGAGCAACGGGTATTTTATTTAGTGGAATTGGCGTAGCGCTAGTTGGCGGTATAGGCGACGAAAGAATCAACACAGCAACATCATAGTTCATTGTATTCTCATCATATGCTTGCGATATCAACACATTTTTAGCCGTTCTCACTATGCCAATATCGTAAAGATTAATAGTGTCGGCATGAATCCGCAACATTTTCACATTGAAATCCACTACACAATGTGCTGCTGTAAGTACAGCATTGTCACGTATCAGCGACCCGCCACACTTAAACTCGCTCCCATAGTGCAGGCGCACGTAATAAGGATACTGCTTTACCATTACCGGGGTGCCTCCGACAATCCGTTGGTTACCATCTGCGCCGAATACGTTTCGCAAGTGAAAGTATAAAATCACTTGCAAGATAAATTGCAACTCGATACCCATGGCGTAAAACTTTCGTACTGAGCACGATCACTGCGGCGCTGTGACTTTCTTATATGTGAAGTTTTGTCTCATTTTTCTTCTGCAAAACTAAACTTGAATTTCTGTTTGCCGTCTTGGAAAACCTATTTAACGCCTTTTTATAAATATCCTCTTAATGTGAATGCAAATATATTTTAATAGCCTAAATTATAGCCTCGTAAAAAATATTTGAATATTGAAGCACAATTCGCCGTGTTCCAAAACCCGAAATTTCGTGTTATAAAACACCAGCCCCGAAACTTAACTTATTCTGAATAAAAGCTGGACAGGTGCCTTAAATTTTTACCATCATATTTTTTTGAATTGTCTATAGCTTTATGCGGTCATTATGCTTTCCAATAATTCCTTCAGGTTTCCAGAAACATAAGCCAGCTTTGAGCGGTTTCTTTGAACATCGCATTTGTTTTCGTTGTCACATCCCCTCTTTGAAGTCTGCGAGTTAAGTTGAAACTTTAATAATTCTTTTTATTATTTCAATTATTCGTTTTCTAAGAATTAAATAAAAAAACGTCATTATTTATTTTCACGCTCTTTTTCAATATGGATCGTCAAAACAAAGAAGGACGACATCCCGTATTAGGAATAAAACTTTCCCAATATAGATAAGTGATACTTCGGGATTGCACATTAATTGTCATTTTATGTAAATCATTACATTAAAAAAATTTTGTTTAATAAATTCACGTCACGTTTGTCTCGTGATGTACTAACTTCCCCCAAGACAATAACATTCGAATGAATTCAAAAACTGATCTTTTGTACTATTTTGCTCTATAGATTACATATACATATTATACTAGTATATCTAGTAAAAAGGTAGTTCAGTAGGTAGTTGCAATAGCTGGCTGTAGTGATCTGTAGCTCGCCTTCTATAAGTGCGATTGGGTACCAGCAAAGAGAAAATACGCTATATTTCAATATTGTTCGATAAAGGCGATCACACTACTTGAGCAGCTGAAAATGTGAATAGTGTTTATGGTTCTGATACTGTAACAGTCAATCATGGAAACAATGGAAATCGTCGAGTATGACTGTCATGCGTACAATATTTAGATTGTCCAGGAGCTAAACATTGCACAAGAAACAGTTTAGAACCACTTCAAGCTCGATGTACCGGTTTTCCATCTGCGTATCGCTGCTAAATCGCAACAAAATCGACCCGTTTATGAAGCGGATCATAGTCACCGTTGACAGTAACGTCAAAGGTGAACAGTCGCGGTCGCAGAGCAGAAGAGCCCATGCAAACGGTCGAAACGCGTTTGGAAGGGTGCGTTTTATTTAAAATGTTTGACGCCGCGCCTTAGTTCTGACTTATAGACTTCGGCTTTGCACATTGGCTCCTCCAGAAGAAAGACTTCTTGGTGCTAAGCTTTATGACTCTCTTAGTATGGGTGACGGCGAATGCCGCATACGATGGAGCAGATAAGCTGAATGATATATACGGGATTGCGGCAGAGCCAGAGAAAAACTTCCGAAAATTCAATACATATCCTTTTCAGTCTTATTTTATTTATTAAAAATTAAGCTAAAGTCTTAAACTCACTTCAATCTGTAACTAAATATTTGGGAAATTTATGCTAAAATAATACAAAAATCTCCGAATCTCACGGGTGTGCTAACAGTGCGTATACAAAATATTCATTATCCACTTCCTAACTGTATTTACACTCACATAAACGCCCGGTGAATCGGCACGACCGCATTCACGCCGCTTACCCCACGAAACAACGCCTACAAGACGTCCCTGAGCCACCGCAGGACCACCCGAATCCGCCAGGCAGGCATCCTTTTGGCCTGGCACCGAGGCACAGAACATCGTTTCCGTTACATTTCTGTAATCATCATAGAGTGCCTCACATTTCTGTTGCTGCAGCACACGAAGCCGCACAGTTTGCATTTGATTTGCGGGTTGTAGGGCTTGCTCATGCCTCAAACCCCAGCCGGATACGGTAACATAGTCTCCTGGATTGGGCGTAAAATCAGCGATTTGTATTGGCTTCATATCAGCCCCATGGAGTTTCTGACTCAAACGCAAAATGGCGATGTCATGCTCAAATGTACGATTATTATACTCCGGAGGTATGAAGAAGCGCTCCACGGCGCGTCTGTTAACGGCATCACTCAAGTACGTAACGCCGCCACGCACCTGGAAATCATTCGGCGAGTGGGTGCCCACACAATGTGCGGCCGTTAAAACACAACGTGAGGTAACCAGCGAGCCACCGCAATGGAAGTAACCATTTAAGCGTATATTGACCAGGTATGGCACTTGCTCGACCCGCGTCGGATCACCGCCGACAATACGTCGATCGCGTTGCTTGCCTGTGGACGTAGGATTGGCGTTTAGTCGCTGAATGCAAATTAATAAAATCAAGATAATGTGACGGAGCGCCATTTTGATACGATTAAAATCGAAGTTTGCTTGGTCGCAGCTGGTGCTCAACTAACACAATCAATAGCTCTATAAGCTGTTATTTATATTGCCTACTTATATACATATTCAGTGAATATTTTAGTAAACTAGGCCGAAATTTGTGGTGAGTCTTAAGCTTCGAACCAATTTCAATATTTACCATGGCTTCGGAAGGCCACACGCCAGTTGCTACTTGTTTGTTTGTGATGCTAGTGGTGGGGGTTGCTTGTAAAATAAACCAATAGTAAATATATACTAAGGTACAACAAACTGAAGATCACAGTCGCAAACAAACCTTAAAACCCTATAAAAGGTTGGCTTAGAAGGTAACATAGTTTTTCATCAGAAATCAACTTGAGAATTTCCAAAGTGCGAACGGAGAAAGTGGTCGGCCGAATGGCGTCTTTTACGCCTGGTAACTACAGTTCTATGCTGATTTTACTTATTCTCTACCTTAATTGTCTATCCACGGCTGAGGCAAATACAAACGCGCTCAGGTACGATGAGCCATTATCGACGACGAACGCAACGATCAATCGAAGGATCATTGGTGGTGATTTCGTAACGATACGCGGTGCACCATTTATAGTGAATTTACGTTTGGATAACGAGTTCATGTGCGGCGGTTCTTTGTTGCGCCCCAATTGTGTGCTCACCGCGGCGCATTGTGTCATCGGCACACCGGCCTACCGCTTCAGCGTGCAAGGCGGCACAACGATACTATCAAAGCGGGGACAACTCTCGGCTGTGCGAACAGTTTTCATACCACCAAATTATAGCAAGAAAACTAATAATTATGATGTTGCCATATTGCGTTTGGCGCGACCCATGCGAGGCAGTCGTGTACAATTGGTGAGTTTAGCTAATGACAATTTGCTGCCCGGTCAGCGTCTCCGCGTATATGGTTGGGGCCTTCGACGTGAGCGGGGTGAGAGTGCAGAGGCGTTGCGTGCAGCTACGGTACGCGTGATTAGACGCGCGAAATGTAATCGAGAATATCGACAAGATGGCGAAGGTGATTTAAGCAGAACTATGTTTTGTGCCGCCGCGGAGGGGTTGGATTCTTGTGCTGGCGATTCTGGTGGTCCGTTAATGCATCGCGGCCGCCAATACGGCATTGTTTCGTGGGGTGTCGGCTGTGCGCGTCCGAGATTTCCAGGCGTTTATACCAGCATAAAAGCCGTCCGACCGTGGATCAATCAGATAGTGTCGCTGTATTGTGGTTAAATGCTACTAGTTGTTAGGTTAATAGTGTAAAGGTTGCATATATAATTAAATTTAATAATATAATATTTTTCAAAAACGAAAAACGAAAACTTTATCCCTGGCTTGCATTTATTTTCATTTACACCCAAAGACTATATTAAGGATGCTCCTAGATAGCGAAGCTTGGTCTTACATTAACTACTGATAGCTCAAGTCTTGGGCTGTTTTCTCTTTGATCACAGCATTACCTTTCTGAGTGTTCGATGACTGTTTGTCAATTGTAGTAGACAGAAATGTGGCTCTTACGCTGTACCCAAGACCCTTAGATCCAAAAAAGAAAAATGCGAGAATGCAAAACTTATAATAAGATTATAAGCAGGGCATGTGAGGCCTCCTTATTGTACACGATCACCTGCATAATGCATACCTCTTTATATACCGAAGATCATGAGACATTTGATTCTTAAATAAAGTGTATTCATATAAATGAATAGAGTAAGATAATAATTCAAAGCAAGTGTGTTGCAGAAGGGTTTTAACCCTCCTGAGAAACTCGGTTGGCTTGAATCCTTTCAATGAGACTAGTGCACGAGCGAGATTTACCACCCTTTCCTTCGTTGAACGAGTCTCAACTATAATTGCCTTTCATAGGCCGATAGCACGAGTAGATTTGGGATCCCGGTTAGAGGTCATAATGTAAAGCTTTGCTAGCTAGCAGTATCTCTTGGAATACTACTTCAGGGCTCACCCAAGCAGATACCTGCTCGGCACACATAAAGAACGCGGTACTAAGTAGGTTAAACAAGGTGCATTCACCAATACGGAACAAAAAGTGGAAAGTGGATAAAGAACCGATCGCGTCGAAAAACAATATAATTTTTTTTCAGTTGCGGTCGCCCCTCGGCAGGGAATGTCTCCCCCTCCGAGTGTATTTCGGACATGAAATAAAAGCTATTCGTAAAAATTCACCAGCCGTTCAGAGACGGCTTAGTTTAAACTGTAGGTCTCTCCATCCTGAGCTCGCCCGAATATATATATAATCAAATAGTTTAGTATACATGATTGCTTAGATTTTTGCAACAAAATTAATAATTTAATAAACATTCTAAAAATGTTTTTAAAACCAGTTTGATATTTCAAGCTCTGAAAATTGTAATACTTATCCTGATTTCACCCCGGCATACCCTACATCCGTAAGATATATAATGTACCCCGCACGACACTAGCCACTTTTTTTATGTCCATTGAAACCGACTCACCTAGCACATCTTTTCCTTTGGTCCTCCGCTTTGGTCTAATCGCTACCGATACCGCTGCAACAACTCCTTGAACTCTTTGGATTTGAAACTATTTTATTTGCCAACGATGTTGTAGTTTGAATATTTATTCTCGAAGATTAGGACGTACCAGTACCACTGATATGTCTCAGTGATTTATAGAACAGCGGAAACACTTTGGCAAGATAAAATGAGCTCGCATTCGGGGTTACCAGCAGATGAGGGGTTGAAAAAAGAAGTTCAACGTAGAGCCGATTGTGGCAATAAGGAAATACATCTTATGAATGAGATTAACAGGGCTTCCAGACCCAATTCAGTGAGCTGGAAGCGGCTCCTTTAACTGTTTCCTGAGTGTGTCAACAGAAACGTGGAGCTGTGGTCGTTTTTGTTCCACTCAAGGAAGCTCTTATTTGACCAAAAGATGATGTTGTATAGTTGTTGTAGTTTAGTTTGTATAAGTAATGTCCTAATGCGATACTAATATATTTTTAAATGCACTTTTGAATCATCCTTTCAACTTAGCCTAACTTTATCTTCCTATTTTCAGTATTCCTTACAACAGACCTATCACCGGGTCGCCAAAAGCTGCATTCGCAAATTCAAATCGACACCGGCGAATTATCAATGCAGAGCTCGAATTCAGCATTGTATTATGTCTTCAGTTTAGTGGAGACACCGATAGCGTTGCTGCAAAAGACCTCTTACGTCATTGACATTCAACGGCCCAAAACGGCATCCACAATGACACAACTCGAAAGCGGCTCGGCCAATAGCGCCGAAAGCTCACCTGAAAATATACGAAACTTCATTCCACCAACTGATATCCGACCACTTACCGTTTCACCGCCTGTCCAAATTGAATTCCTAGATGAGAGCCGACTGCGCAAGACGCGTGAAGATACAATTAATATTGAATGTGCGCTGGACTTCCGGTTCTCAGCGCGTTTTTACACGCTCAGCAAGCGGCCGCTGACGAAAGTCTATCGTGGCGAGAATTTCTTACTGCGCGCCAACATCGAAGTGCGTTCGCCGGTCGATATTGATATACTCGAAACGTATTTCATTTGTGTAAGTATAATGCGGTGGATAAATTTGTAAATAACACACAGTATATATGTATTTATTTCGCTTTCAGGATCACAATCTCGTGCAATCGACCTACAGCTTTAAGAGGAAAAAGTTTACGCAGACCTATCGCAGTCGCGATAAACTAGAGGACGTAATCACACTGCGCACAAATGCAGCGTCCAACGACTGGATAACCTCTAAAGATTTCGAACGCACCAAAAGTGGAGATGGCATACAATCGGAGCTCTTCAGTCGTTCACGGCACGCGCGCAAACTGAATGCCATTAAAAATATGGCACGCGACGGCGTTGTGGGTGATGCAATTGATGTCGCTGCCAGTGCGCACATGAATAAGCATCTCATGGGCAAGATACCCAACAACATGACAATAATAAATAACAATGCCGGTTCGGCGAACTCACTGCTGTTGGCGGCGAACTCACACTCCTCAATGACGGCGTCGAGCTCTTCCTTTGATGAGAAATTCAACTCAACCCAGGCTGGTACTGTCACTGATGGCGACAATGTTGATACCTCGTTGGCAAACACAGCGTCTGTGCGTGCATTAAATCCACGTGTCGTCTTTAATAAAGCAATAGAAGCTATTCAAGCTACCGGTCACTGTCGTGGCTTTTTCAAGCGTATCGTTACGACAGAACCCGAAACGCAAGCAATAACAGCGCACCAGCAACAGCAACCGAATTTCGGTGTTTACTGTATTAGATGGCGGCGTAGTGGTCGTAAGGAAGAGAACGAATCGAAATTCCTTATACACGGCTTGGACATAGAGGAGCCACCGTTGAATATCTACTGCACCATTGAGGAGAAAATGTTCGTGAAAATGCCGATGACCTACAAGGTTGTACTGCGTAATCCCACCTCAAATGTATTGCATTTGGTAGCTACACTGAGCATTAGTATAGCGGATAACTTCATTTGTTCGGGTCACAAACAGGTAAGAAAAGAGATGGGCTTACATAAACTGCACTGCCAAGTCTTTTTTATTTTCCACTTACATTTCAGCTCGATATCTCCATATATGCCTATAGTGAAAAGGAGTTAGTATACAATTTGTATCCACTTTGCGTTGGATGGGTGAATTTGCCAGAGTTGACACTGGAATACAACACCAAGGCGGATCCCAGCAAGAATGATTCGCATAATACGGTACTCAGCGAATTGGTACAACGCTCCATACCGAAGAAGGTGTTTGTATTGGTAAGTGAAAATTTTCAAATTGAATATATAGCCTTAAGAGGAGTAGCTAACACTTCGTGGTGGCAGGTAGGAGCTCCCTGTGATCACCTCTATCTCGAACTCTTGTTGTTGTTGTTGTTGTAGAAGTTATAAAGCTCGTGCCATTTAACACCTTTACCTGTCGATCCCAACGCAATTATATAATCTGAAATCTGATTGTGAATTATTTAAATGGCCTCGATCAGCAGAAAGCATTATGGTTGTAGACAGGCAAGAACAAACAACAACAACATGTATAATTGGCGCTTTGTACCACTGAAGTGATTTTTCGGCCGAGCTCCTCCTCCAACTAGTGGTTTTGCGTCCTGGTGTTTTTCCAACAAATGGAGGGTTCTAAAGTTTATGCTAAGCTGCGAATTGAACCATAAATACGATTATTAAGAACCAGTCTCTTCATGTTAATTTAAACGATAAGCTAGGATTTGAAGTTCAAGTGAATTGAATCGTAACTAAGATTTTCTGGCGTGAATCCGCTCCGAGATTCTCTTAATAAAGTTGAATTCTATTTCAGTACAGCCGTTATCAATTCAGGAAAAACTTCAACTCGCTTCCAACATAAGGGTTTCTCATTGAGCGAGATCGCTGTGTACTAAAAATTAACCACTTTTCTCGTTCGAGATTTTTTCTCTGACTTGGCACTTTTCATAGCACACGCTATGGAATTGCTCGGCTTTTACGCACGTAAATGCACGGACGCGCTTTCTAACAAAGCTTCTGTTTAAGTCAACGAATGATGCCATCTGTCGGGTTATGGATTGGACCAACCCAATCAAATATCTGCTCGGTGACCCTCGGTTATTATGTTATGGTATTCTCAGACCTACTGAACACTCGTATGCACATAAAATTTCATTAAAACCGGTCAAGCCGTTTCGAAGGAGTATCGTTTCTAACACTGTGACTCGAGAATTTTATATATTAAATATATTTGGCGCTTTCTAATCGGTGAAGAAGTTTTCGTTCCCTGTTGTTTGGGAGACCGCCATTAAAAAATTAGCTTTCTTTAATATTGAACGACTCGAATCCTGATCATCCGAACCCCGCAACCACCTCTCATCGGAATTAGGTCCTCGAAGAAGTGTTAGCTCTTGGGTGGAAAAAATTTGGATCAAGAATCGTGCGTACAATCTCCAGCCTTGGGAGTCCTCTATCTTAAACACCGCTTTTGTTCGATCTCAACATCCCGCCATTAAGTGAATAAACTTTGTTCAAAAGCAAAAAGTAGTCGCTCCCTCTCGTGTTCGGCAATAGCTGTAGAAACGCTACCGTAGGATTCTTCGCCGTAGATACCTGTTTGAAGCAAAACCATGGAGACGACTCTAGAGATATCAGTGAGGAATCACTATACTAAACGAAATCTATTCAGTATGTTATGGGAAAACTTCCCCAAAGCACTTTCTGGGGAATGTTGCGGAATGACAGCCCTTGGCCGGATAAAAATACGGGATAAAGAACCGACTGTCGCCGGAATTATTGGATTTTAGTGGCCTCTTACGACAGTCTTTATACCGGAACTTCAACCGAAAGCTCCAGCCTAACCCAAAAATTGCTTTAGGAATATTTTGAGGTTACAACAAAAACATGATTTCATTAAAATTATATAGGGAAGAAAAATTAGAGGTTGACTAATCCATTGCTCCCTTGATTTGGAGTTTTGTCGTAGTCCTTTTCGGATACATGCAGCAGAAAATAGCCAAATTAGATTCAAACATTCTTAAGTATTCTGTAAGAATAAAATAACAAAGTATTTCTTAATTTTTTATTTATCATTTATTTATTAATACTCAAAACATTTTGTGTTCGGTGCTAATTTGAAATTTCTTTATCTACTCTTTTGCAGCCACCACTGAAACAACAACTAAAATAAATATGGATTGCAGTGTAATTAGTGTTTAGTCCAAAAGGACTGTTTGTTTAATAAATATTTAAGATAAATAGTTTCAGAATGTAGGAAATATGGAGTTTAGACATTTATACCACACAGAGAAAGAAGGTTTGATATTCACAATTAGGATATCGTATTTGATAAAAATAAAAAAATGTTCAAAATTATTGAAATATAGTAATTCTAAAGCAATTTTACTATAATGTCTATTAAAAATGTTGAATTAGTGAACAATATACGAAACCCTACACGCATAGATACGACATTTAATAGCCATTTAAATAGTATATTTTACATGTTCGCATAGCATTTTGTCTATTTTGTTATAATACATTAATAATAATTATTTCGTTTTCCCTCTTTTTACTTCGTATGTGAAAGGATTAATTCAGAATACATAAAGTGTGCTAATACATTATTTAATAATTATTGTAGTAGTTTGTAAAGGATGATATGGTACAATCGTTCGTACTAGCATTATAATGTTGTATGTGTATAATACTTAATTTTAACTTTTATCTGTGTTAAAGAAAATCTGAATTCACATTATTATTATAACTACAATAAATAGAAGTATTGTATTTTACTGCACTGGATACTTAATTGGTGGATCGTAACATGGAGAGTGGTGTATGTAAAATGACTGAGTAAAATGTCAGCGCTAAAATCTCATAGTAGACATATCTTATCACTTGTTACCCGAGGTGAATTTGAAAACGCCTCTTCTTTGGCTGCGATTTTCGCTCTATATGTATATGTAAAAGGAATTTTATTATTTAGGTTCTAAACAACAATTAAATACTAGTTCTATTTATACAACAACTCACCAATAAGCGATTTCCGAATAGCATTTTTGCTTTGTCTTCCTCTTGCGGCGATGAGCGTTCTCCTGTCGATGTGCCTGGTTGCCGTCGATGTATTTGCAGTTTCTGCTTGATTGCTTGCGATAATATCACACGTCGACTCACGGATTTCATAGCCAGTAATAAGTCTAGCCACGTCCAAGTGACATTATGATACTCTAGTGTTGGTATGACTAGCGAAAAATCGGTGATGTCTTCCAGATTTTTCTCCTTGTTGCCCTTATAACTCACACGTACAGGCACTTCCGGTATTTTTATATATATAAACAATTTGTTCTTCTCCGCACGCTCTTTCATCTTCTCCACATCATCTTTTTCAATTTTCACATAGAACTCTGAATCTTTAGAGCTCTTTTTCGTTTTCGATGGTTTCTTAGTGGTTTTCGTTTGCACTGCCGATGATGAAGAGGAGCTGGAAGAGTTCTCTTCAAGATCATCTACGGCCTCCGTCTCGGAAGCATCACGATCTGGGAAGCAGAATTTCAGCATAGTACTGTAGAATTTCTTAGTTATTGCAATTGTGATGGGTGCTACATTAATTTCGAAATGTTCCTTAACTGAAATGCCGCCCACCGGAGGTTTCTCGCGACAAAAGACACGTAACACCCGTTTATGTGTATCGATTGGCATATCCTTTTGGATCTCCGTAGGCATTAGTACTTCACGATAAATCTCACGTGGTATCAAGTTACTCATGCGAATATTGCCCAATTCCAGCAAATGCTCCACCGAGTCGTCGCTCTTCGATTTCTTGGTATACAAAAAGCCGCTGAGCACCAAATCGGATATACCGATTTGGCCATCAGTTTCGGTGAGTCGCCACTGTGCACGTTTGAAACAAATTTCATTTGCACGGACAATTGTTAGCGATTTGTCGGAGCGAACCTGTAAAGAAAATTAAAAAATTAAATTTTAACAAAATTTTAAAAAATTTTCTCTTTTTGCTCCTGCCACTTACGTTTGAAATTTTGCTAAGCTGTGAGAGCTGTGTTTCTTTATAGCACAACAGCATCATATCGAGCTCTTCACTCAACGTATTCAATTCCTCTTTACTTTCGCGTATTTGTAATTGTACACGTTCGAACTCATGCCTCAGCTCCAGCGTGTCGCCCTCCTCGGCCCGATCTTTGCCTATCAGATGTATATCTTTCTCCAGCGAACGAATTTTCATCAACAAACTACGTATCATAGTTTGTTTCTGTTGTATTGGACGCTTCTGGTCTTCCGTGGAGTGCAGTTGCAGCTGAAAACGCATGCGTGCCAATTTCTCTAAAGCCTGTTTTCGTTGTGGTTCGACGTAGAGTAATAAATTGTTGACAATATCTAAAATCATAGCATATTGCAATGAATTCGTGCAGACATCCAAATCATGATGCATCAGTGTGAAAGCATCGACGGGATCATCCTGTTTTTCCCAGGGCGAAAGTGTTTCCTCTGAAGGCGGTGGTGGTACTTCGGTTATAGAGTTGGGATCGATTGTATCCCCATAGCTGACATAAAAGAATTCACATTTACAGCGTGACACAATGCGTTGCAGTTGTACAGGCTGAGTTTCGCCCGGATTCTCATTGGATAAGGCACCGACTGTCTCCGAAACTACGCCGCCCACACTGCGACCACTACCAACAAGATGTGGAATGTCTGGCAAGTCGTTGATAACAGTATCATCTTTGTCCTTGAAGGAAATAGAAGGAATAGAAACGACATACATATGTAAATATTGTTTCAAAGTTAAGCCGTATTTTCTGAAACACTTCCAGTCTAAAATGTTTTTATCGACAAAAATGTCTTTTATCGATAAAGATTTTTAAAAACTGTGTAAGCGTCAGTTCATTGTAACGCTGGGATTGTGAAAATCTGATCTTGGTCATGAGCAAAGAGATTCCAACGCGAATTGCCAACACTTTTACGTATAGCTTAACTGGCCACTTGAGAATGCAATTCTTGCATATATGACACAAAGTAAAAAAAACACAGATTTTAGGAACCAAATGCCAGATCCTAAAGATATACAAGATATACGCGAGGAGCGTACGAAATCTAACTTTAAAATTATATACAGTGGAAAAATTCTTATGCTTCCATTGAAATACCATGTTTTATAGTACTTAAACAAAATAAAAAGCTAATACATAACATTAGCATGGCCGCGAAATTGATTTTCAATAACTTAACCGCAAAACTGTAGAGGTTCTGAAATTTCAAGCTGAGGCTTCCGTTCTTCCGTTGATAGACTCCCATTTATAATTTCTAAGCTTCAGTGAAAATTTATATTTAATATTAATTTACCTACAAAATTTATATTCAAACACCTAACCTCAAAATTATTATGACGACGAAATTAATTCTCAACAAACCTAACCTCAAAATTAGGTTTCAAGAATCAAACTTATAATGTGCAAAACCTCATACAATTCCAATTTAAATCACCTAGGTATTTTATAGAGCTTTAACTTCCGATACTTATGTAAAATGTTATTATCGAAACTTAAACTAAAAAATAAATTTGATAAAATTATTGTATTTCTTATACCTGAATATTATCTACAGTAAGCCACATAATCTCTTTTTCAATTAGCGAATCATCCTCTCCAGCGCTCACTGTCGCATAATACTGCATGCATTCGAGCAAACCCTTCCAAGTCGTCTTCGACACCAGCGAACGATCGCGCCATACTGGACGGTGTACACGTTGCAAAATCTCAGCTTTCGCAGCACTAATAATAACGTAACCCGAAGTCTCACAACCTTTAAGCAACACCTGTGAATTCACCAACGAAATGGACCAATTCTCATGTATCACATCCTGGGCCGAGCAGGCCTGTAAACCTTGCAGCTGCAGCTCACGCGATTGTGTGCTCTGGTCATCACTATAAACATTGAATTTGTGATCGGCTTCGGCTATAAGCTGTTGCAGCATTGCTGTAGCATGACTTGCGGGTTGCACTTTTTTAATGGCGCTATTGGTGTTCGTAACTGTTGATTTGGCGAGAATGGAAAATTAAATTAATTTTTTAGGAAAACTTTTCACTACTCACTTGGTATCACTTCTGTCGGGTTGTTGGTAAGTGTAATGGTGCTGTCACTGCGTTTGTTTTTCATAACATTCGAGTTGATTTCTTTGCGATAACTTTTCACAGCTTCTGTCGACAAATTGTTCTTAAGCTTTTGTGACTTCATAAAGGAATCGAAGAGCGCAAACGCCACATCCCGATTGTTTTTCGTCCACGCGCCCTTAAGGTCATAAACAACCAACTTGTGTGTAGGCGTTGTATTTTTCGTCTTTGACTCCTCCTCTTGGTTGCTGCCAGTTTGAATGAGCGCTTCACGGCCATAAGAAACTTTAGCCACACTTAAAAAGTAAAATCTTACTATTTTAAATGCATCGCCAACACTCGCCAAGTTTTCGGCGCTGCTGTCCAGCTTCTCAGTGAGTATACTTTTTAACCAAATTTCGGCGTCATTTAATTCACAATTCATATAGACGGTGGACCAGTCGGCGCGTGGCCTATGAATCAAGCCATCATCAATGGGACTTAACGAGAGGCAGTACTCGGAGCTAAAGGACACCCGACCGCCGTTTAATTGGAAACCCTTATGCAGCGCATGCGACAACCAATAGAGCACTTGGAAACGATGTAAGCTCATTTGGAGGTTAGCTTTTTTATAATGACGGCTGAGTTGTTTTTTACGTGGACGCACATTATTAAATACCGGACCGCGGCGTGTTGGACGCGTAACGCCTGATAGTATCAACTTAAGGCTTTCGAACCAACGCAAAGTGCTGCCGTATAACACCAGACTGGGTATATCAATTTCAACTTCCTCTCCATGCTTCGGTTTCGTTTCAAATGAGATCCAAATATTTAAGTTCAGCGAACGGAAAGCACGGAACGAGTCGTGCACTTGATTACTCGAATATTCTGGCAACTTGTCGGGAGCGCAAGGCATAACGGCGTGATGGTCATTTGGATTAGCCAGACAAACCCAATTTAACTTTAACGTTAATTTTAGGTTAGGAAAATGTAAGAGGCGACAATCATCGTAACGTGAGGCTGTACGTACTGTGATCTGCATTCGATTTAATAATTTATTTATTTAGAGGAAACTCTTTAAAACCTAAGTAACTAAGTATTTCACTTACATTTAATTCGCCTTTAAACATGATTTTCGCATTAGTCCAAACAATGCCAGCATTGTTCCATGTCAACTCCATTTCCTCTGTAGTATTGTAGGGATCCAATGAGGCATGTAGTAAGACTGTAAATTGCTTAACAATCATTGTTAAACGGCCATGGAAAAGTAAACGCATTTTATCCCAAAATGGCAAGGGCGGACTTGGATCTTTCGAAGGCGCTGAAATCTTTTCAAAACTCAGATTACATTGTGCCATAACCGGCTCCCAACAGGGGCCGAAAGCATAGCTGCAAAACTCCAATTCACAATCGAAATCATGGTAAAATTTCAATGATGGCATGCTGCGCTGAACCACATCGGTGCCAAAGGGCTCCCCAACTTCTATGAGGACATCACGTTTAGCGCGCTTGGAGGCTGCTTGCTCCGCGCCACATAAATTACCAAATAAGCGCATGGATTTCACATAGAACATGGGTTGTGGAAAATCTCTGGTCAAAACAATTATCGTAGCAAAAACATATTTAAAGAAAAAAATATTTGAAAATGATTAGGTATCCCTCACCTCAACATAAATTTCCACTCGGTACAACTGATATTTACACTACGACACCAAAGCGTAGTGAATTCAAGACCTTCTTCCGGCCAAGGGCTCTCACAGTCAATATCACGCATTATACGCGTCACATTCTCAGTGCCATGTATTGATGGATCTGCCATGGCCATTATTTCTACATCTGTCATAATCCATGCCAGCAAACGAGTACGCACAGGTCCACTTTCACGTATTTTTTTCGAGCGTTGTATATATATTTCTGAATTCTTTTGTACAAGACTCGCATAGAGACTTTCTATAGTGCTGGCTGGTACCAGACAACGTTCAGCAATTTTCTTATCAAAGATAGCCTTACGTTTTAGGCCCTCCAGATATTCGTCCACAAGTAGAACGTAATTGTCACGTAACTTCACTTCGAATGGATCATCGCTGATCTCCAATAAGAATTCTTTAATCTTTGAAAAGGAAGTGAGGTTTGGATCAAAGTATAATAAAATTAACTCAGAAAAATAAAGGGGAGACATACCTGTATTACCATATCACTGGGTAATGGTGAATCAGCTGTAAACGGTTTCTTTTTGTAGTTGTGGACCAATTTCGCCCATTTAAAATGTGATACGAATTCATTTTGTACTGCGTCATAAAAGTCATGGTCGTAAGGGAATATAGCCTGCATGGTAAATTGTATATAATTTGGTTTAATAAATGTTTAAATGTTTAAATTTTCTCATTTATTAGATTGTAGATTTTATTATTTTATTATGTTTTATTTTTTTATTCTGCGGAGCCGAGTGGTTAGCATTGCTTACTGCTTTCCGTAAGGGCAGGGTTCGAATCCTGCTACTAACGAAATCGAAAAATTATAGAAAATTAATTAACTAAAAATTTAGTTCATTTTTCTAATCGCGCTCGCCCCTCGGCAGGAAATGTCAACCCCTTTGAGTGTATTTTTGACATAAAATAAATTCTCCTCATAACAAACCATCAGTCGTTCGGGGGCGGCTTGGTATAAACTGCAGGCTCCTCCATTTGTTGGAAAAACACCGAGACGCCTGATGATGATCTTACATTTTATAATTTTTTTATTTTTGCATTTTATTTTATTTATTTATTCATTGTAAACTCACTTTAAATGCGCCAATTGTAGTCACCCACACTTTGTTCGTAGGCATCATGAATCCCTCACAATTCATCCGCTCTTGCGTCAGCATATCTAAACGTGGCAGCGATTGTACGTCTATATCCTTTAATGTAAATATATGCTGATCATCAATTTTGATGAACAGATTTTCCGCTGAGATAAAGTTTCCTTCTTTGTGACTGAAGAATAAGTTTTCCACAAACCATTGCATTGTATGACGTTCAGAGAGTTTAATTTCGAATACCGTACTTAGCTCAGCAGATAATTCAATGATCCATTTTCGCTTTATTTGTGGCACTTCAGCTACAACATCCCGCTGTGGAAGAGCGACTTCCGCACACAAATCGTTCATGTCACGCGCCAATGTCAATATATGCATATGCAAATTGGCATTCCACATAGCCTCTGTATTACTAGGAATGTATACCGACACTTTGTTCTCAAGTTTTTCATGTTCAATGCGTATGGTCTTACAACTGGCGAAAATGTCCGTGAAATCATTGAGACAAAGGGATGAAGAATTCATTGAACGCATAATGGCCATTTGAAAGTCTTCAAATTTAAAACTAGACACTTGCTGTTTACGCGATAATGATATATCTGAAAAGCTTAAAAGCAAACATGCCTGATGATGATTGATAAAGTAGGCGGTGATGTCTTTGATGCGTGCAGAAATCAACAAGCCACTGGATATCGAATTAGTACCACTCGAATGAACGCGCAATGGACGCTTCTCAACACCACTGCCAGTGGAACTCAAACCGCCATATTGTTTTATGCAATTGACAGACTTTACAATAAATTCGGCAAGGCTCATGCTATATTCCGTGCGCAAGGTATGAATAGATACCTCCAGTTTTGTGACACTAGCATATGAACTCAATTTAACCAAACTAAGCCCCAAGAAAAATGGCGAGCCTGGTGAATGTGATTTTTTCAGATTATTGGTATCATTTATAGAGTTTCCCAAGGACCACCACAACGATTCTATCATCAATTCCGTACTCCAATGACGTTGATTTAGGAGTAAATTCAATAGTCGATTTCCATACAAAGAGCTGCGTTTCTCATCGATTTGTTCCAATAAGAATCGTGTATGACTGACGCTCATAGCTGCATTTTCATCATCCAGTTTCATTAAAACAGAAACGTTCCAAAACTCAGCACAACCTAGAATAAATTTAATATTAAAAGTACATTATCAAATATTTCCGGTTATATATACAATATTGAAAGAATATATAATTTATTTAATATCACAATCTTTTATAATAATTCGTACCTTTGACAACAATGCGTTTTAGTATACCCTCGAAAACGCTATTATTCGAATACTTGGTTGTTAAAAAGATCGGATCTAGTGTATTTTCATTCACAAAACCTTCTACACCCAAATGCTCTGCCATTGAACGCTGTTTCGAATTTAATTCCATGGGTTGTTGACTTGTACGTTGACGTGACAAAAAGTTATTATGCACCCAATCATATATTTCGCAATGATTATATATTATTTGGAATGTTTTAAGCTTAACATATAGATTGAGAATGTCGTTTTCCAGCTGGTGGAGAAGTTTCATTACAATTTTTAATTTAAAAAATACTAATATATGTACGAATTCCTACCACAGAATCAATAGTAAATTGTTCAAGAAATAAAAGTTTTTCATATTTGGTGTCAATGTCCAGGTGTTGCAGTAAAACTTTGGTAAATAATGTCGGTAGTAGCGCATTTTCATTCAGAGATTTTGAGTTAAATTTGCCGGTTATCTAAAAAATACTCGTTTTTTGTAGATAGAACGTAGAAAACAAATTTTTCCAACTTACACTAAACAGCTGTATTTTTGCACTAAAGTCATTTTGCGAGTTCTCCTTGACTGCAGAAAAAGTGGCCGCTTTTATTACAAAATTAAAATTCTTCGGTATGATAGGAGAAATCTTCTGATAAGACTCATTACTAAAACTCTTTCGACGTTGCGAGAGTGAATTAGCCGTACTTATAACTTTACTCTCTAAATTTTGTTGTGGTTTTGTACGTTGCTTCGCTTCACTTAGGAAGTCATACAAACTACCATGTATTGTAGAACGTGCATTGTTCATAGCCAAAGAGAGTTTCTGAAATATTACAATGAAATATACTTTACTCAAAATCTGATATAAAGTTTAAATTTAAACCAAAATAAATAAAAATCTTACATCTACAGACAATGGCCCGTGTGCAAATAATGTAGCATCCAAAGCAATATCGAAGCTAATCTCGCCCAAGCAGGGACGTATCTTATTTAAGTTTTCTAAACTTTGGCGACGAGATGGGCAGTGCCTCAACATTTTCGCCTAGAACAAAAATATAATATCAGTTAATGTATATACATACTTATATGCTGTGCTTCTTAATGGAGAAATATTAATTACCTGTGCATCATTTAATGTCGCATTAACTAGCAAAGTTTTGGCATTGTGCACAATGCTACCGTCGAGATGTAATTCTCTCGCTGTTGCATGAATGAACCAGCCCGGATCGAAATTATTGTTCATAAGAACTACAGATATGTTATTTATGTGCATTGCCATGAACTATTAAATAGAAAATTTTTAGATAATTAATAAATGATTATAAACGAATTGATAAACAAACCTGTGCGAACGTAAGTATACTGGGTGGAACTTTAGCTCTACGGAAATCAGGCACATCCTTTTCCTCTTCCTTTTGACTTTTGTAATGCGTTCGCTCCGCCTCTCGTAATGCTTCAGGGCCAACATCGTTGCTCTGTATATCTTTGTTTATGCGTATGTCACGTATATAGATCGATAGCAACTTCGTTACTTCTGTGTTAAAGAAGCTACTACGAAGACAAACTTCTTCGATTTGCTGTAAATAAATTTAGCTTTTAATTTTAAACGAACCTTATCTTACTGTTTAATAAATGCTAACCACAATAAATCCACTCTTGCTAACGTGTACATTTCGCAGCGCTAGATAACGTAAGCTAATGCCTCCTATGCGCACTTTTACCTTAAACTTTTTAACGAGATACCAACTGATCCCTTGTGGTAGTATCCTATACAATTGGGTGTATTTTTTAATTTACGTATATATATATAATACGATAAAATGATTCGTATTTACTGAATTACTTACCAATATGCTAGTAAGAATACTAACACAACCAAAATAAGCAGTTTCAGCAACATTTTTTACAAATATGCATCACATTTTTCTTTTATTCCAGCAATTTTCACAATATTTACAAAAATTTTGAGAATCGCCCTAAAATTAATGCAATCACTTTGTTGACGTTACTCACCTTATGAATGAAACAGCTGATTGAGTTAGTTAATGTCAAATAAGTATGTTCTAGCACAAGGTGTTTAGTTAGGAATTAAAAAAAAAAATAAACAGCGCAAGCTAATAGTCAATAAATAACGATAAATAACAATAACCAATCAGGCAAAAATTTTAACCTCCTCTCGAAAATTATTTGAAGATATTACAAATTATAGATGTTTATCTAAACTAAGAACTCTGCATCAGCATAAAGCCCAATTCATCGTAAGTTTGTTAGATCAGAGTTTTCAATCAAAGTAAAATTCATATTACCTCAAGCAATTGATTGAAGTTATGTTCCGGACAAATGTTCTTATTTAAATTGTAGTGAAAATCAGTGGAACAGATCTGAGTTATTTCAAGTTGGAATCAAGCGATGTGGCACTACCACCGAAAATATTTTTATCTAGAGCTGCCATCCCTTTTATGTGTTATATTTGAAAATGTGAAGAATTATGAGATATATGTAAATAATAGCTTATTTGACTTAAATAGTGCATATATTTTTGAGTTATATCATTGAATTGTCGAGTTTTCTGGCTTGAACTTTATATTGAAACAGTAACAAAGTTATTTATCCAGAAGGAATGCCATCTAGAATCCAATTTGAAAATGGATTAATCTTATATTTTCTTTTAATAATACGGCATCTCAAAGTTATGTGATTGTGCCTTTGCGTTGACGAAAAACGAAGGGATTTTACAATATTTCTTTCTACAGATAAAAACCAATAATTTATCAAATATTTGGAAAAAATTAGTGCACGGATTCTGTGAAAATTTTTGCCCTTTCTGAATATAAAGTAGTGAATGTGAATAGTGCACAACCTTTGGAAATGTTGCTAACCCATGCATAAGCATAAGCTGTCTGTCTATTGCTGGCGTCTCGAAGAGTAGTGGAAAAAATAACAAAAATTTCTTCATTAATAGTATAAAAAATAAAGACCTTGCAAATATAGCAAAAGCAGTGTCAACTCTTTTCATAACTTGACTACAGTTTGTAGAAATTAAAAATAACTAATTTAATATTAAACTTGTGTTGTGTGAAAGGAGCAGTTGATATTCCATTACCTAAAACGATTTAAAGGATCAAATTATATTTCCATATTTAAACTTTAAAGGCTTATTAAGCTATATCGTGAATTTTTCCTGTCAACGTAGCTGGAGGTATAACATTAATAAATATTTCACGATCTGTTTATCATAAATATGCTTCCTTTTAGGTGCTGCGATTTTAAATTTAAAAGAATATCCACTTTGGTTGACTGTGACTGGGTAAATGTAAAATTCTTTTCACGTTTTTTTTTTGTAAAACTTGCATACTAAATTAATACAGAATGATAATACAGGAGCCCGTGCAGGTAAAAATAATTTGATTACTTTTTGTTATGTTGATTAAATTGTAAATATTTCCTTATATTGCAGGCCGCCATTTGGCATTGTCTGAACTTTTATGACTTCAAAGATGCCGTTTTTCTATCTGAACGCCTTTGTTGTGAAGGTATGCAATAATCTACAATTAGAAAAATCATTATCTATAATCGTTATCCTCTTGCAGTTGAAACGGACGAAACAATATTTCTTCTTGCTACAAGTTACTACAGATCGAATCTGATACATCAAGCGTATTGGCTACTTAAAGAAAAAGCCCGCCGTTCACCGCATTGCCGATTTTTGCAAGCGAAATGTGCTTATCAGCTTAAAAAATACGCCGAATCTGAATGTGTGCTGGTCAATGGTGGTTTCGGTGATATTAAAAATCTAGAAGATATAGCGAAGGAATTCGGAGAAATCGCTTGCTTCGTACTGCAGTTAATCGCACGAATTTGTGTTAAAACAGAAAGAAGTAAAATTGCTGGAGAAGCTCTCCGGCGAGCATTAAAACTAAATCCGTTTATGTGGCAAACATTTGCTGATCTTTGTCAAATGGGCGAATATGTTGATCCTGCAGTTACCTTTCAAATCTCCAATACAGATGTATTTAATACATGTCAAGGTAGTGCAAACTCTAATTCAATAGTTTTATGCGGTAACACAGGACAAAATATAATGCTAAACGATAGCAATAGTCAGTATTTAAGTAGCATTGGTAATAACCATCTTTCTTCGGATATCCTAATGAATAGTATAAATAATAGTTCAAATTACATACTTTGCACACCAGTTGAGCAACAATTGCCATCACACCCACAACCAAACGTCATAACACTCCAGAATCTTATTACACCAAATAATAATGTCAGTAATTTGAATAATTCTATGTCAATGTTAAGAGGTGTCAACACAACAGGTGTATCTGTTGGTAGTAATTTACAAAACTCTGGCATGACGATGCTAGAAGACACCCCAGTTGGTTACACCACTGGAAATACAGAAACCGGTTTGAATGCTATGCAAAATATGGATGCTTTTGCTGGTACACCATTTCGCAGACAATTCAAATATCTTTCTGCAATCTCACCAGCAACACCTAGTTTTGGTGTACTACCCATACATAGCCCATCCTGTGGGGATTCTTCATTTGTTGGTAGTGGTAATGCACAAACGAATGTAAGTGTGCTAAATACGCCTTCGCCACAAACATTGATGGAAGCCAATCAAGAGCCCAAAATAATAGGAAAGAAAATGAAAAGTCATGTTGGTAGTCTAATAAACAGAAAAGAAGGTGGACCGGCTTCAAATAAACCCGCCGTTTTTACACAAACGGGCAATGTTACACCACGTACACCTAACAATCAAGTTGGTGTTTCATCCGGTACGTATGAGTTATTCAAATATTTAATTTTATAATTTAACCCCTTACCTACTTTATCAGGTTCACTTATTCCCAACGCAGCTGTGAGACGTAGCTCTCGTTTGTTTAGCAATAGCGCCTACTCCGTAAAGGAAAACAATAAATCTCCGAATATTACAAGTAACAAGTTTGCACTGCCACGATCTCCACCTCGAAAGACCAAGACACGTATGCCAAAAATTTCTTTGAATAACGAACTAATCGAAGATAAAAGTGCTAATATAAATGCAGATAAATTGAATGATAAGAACATACGCAAAGATAAAGAGAAGATTGAGACAATAACATCAGCAACCGGTCACAATCGCTCCATTGAAGACACCAAAGTTTTATTAAATAATAGTTTAAATAATGCACAAACAATGGCACATCATGTGCTCATTCTTAAAAAGCAGTCGGCAGATGGCTTAATGTCATTGCTTAAAGATTTGGGTGAAGGCTTTAAACTATTAACACTTTATCAATGTAAGGCAGCCATCAAACATTTTGAAACCAAAATACCAAAGCATCACTTGTGTTCCAGTTGGGTGCAATCTCTTATTGGACTGGCACACTATGAGCTGCGTGTATATGAATCTGCTCTCTCAGTTTTCAAAGACATACACGAAGCGGAACCACATCGGTTAGATTATATGGAAATATACTCATCGTGCCTTTGGCATTTGCAAAAAGAAATAGATCTATCAGCACTGGCACAAGATTTAATAAATCAAGATAAGACTTCACCCGTTACATGGTGCGTGGCTGGAAATTGCTTTTCATTGCATAAAGAGCACGAGACTGCAATTAAGTTCTTCAAACGCGCTGTTCAAGTGGATCCCGATTTCGTTTACAGCTACACACTACTGGGCCATGAACTTGTAATCACTGAAGAGTTAGATAAGGCAGCTGATTATTTCCATGCTGCAGTAGCACGAGATCCACGACACTATAATGCATGGTTTGGCATGGGCAGTATATATTCGAAACAAGAAAAATTCGAATTGGCCGAATTGTATTATATTAAAGCATTGAAAATTAATCCACAAAATTCCGTTATCTTGGTACATATAGGTGCTGTGCAATATTTCATGCAGAAGAAGGAGCAAGCGTTACAAACGTTAAACACGGCTGCAATGCTAGACCCGAAAAATCCATTGGCACGTTTCCATCGTGGATCAATTTACTTCTCATTGGGAAAACATCATGAGGCTTTACGTGAACTTGAAGAATTGAAAGAGGTGGTACCAAAAGAGTCAGTAGTATTTTATTTAATGGGAAAGATCCACAAAGCGTTGGGAAATGTAGACTCGGCACTTATGCACTTCAGCTGGGCTACGGACCTCGATCCGAAGGGCGCAAACAATCAGCATAGAGACGCTTTCGATTCAGCAGTGGTGCCGATGTTTAGTCCCAGTAGAAACGATCAGAGCGTCGACGCAGATCAGGAGCCCACCTCGGATCGTTCCGACGACTCTACACAAGCACAGCAAGACATAAATTATGATAGCGATGCTTATTAAGTTACTAGAGCGGAATTGTGTTTTGTCAATGCACTCTTCCTAGTGCAAAGCGTGTTTCAAATGAAATGTGGTAAAAACAATTGATTTGTTTATGCTTATGTGTGTGTGTTATATTAAGAAAACGCTGCTACGGTTTTTTCATGGACCGAGATGCAACGAAAAACATAAAAAGACGGGAAACAAAAAAAAAATACTAATTCAAAATTTTTCCAACAACAAAAAACATATAGACTAAATATTCACTAAAATTTAAACTTTGCTAAACGAATGAAAAGTTATTGTAAGAGAAAAAAGCAAGCGGAAAAAGTTATGTACTCCAGCAGAATATAAAGCAGTAGTTGCGAAATAATTTATATATACATACATATATATGCATAACTGGCGTAGTATCATATTAAGTATATTTCAAAATTTTTTTTAAACTTTTCCGCCGTGGTGTGGGTAAAGAGTCGTAACGGCTTCATTATTCTCTGGACTCTTCATCAATTTTCAAGCAGAGCAAAGGTATTTTAGTAATGATCTTTGTCAAACTGGAATTATTAAATGTTTTAATTCAACATATAGCTGGTTGCAAAGTAAAACAATACAAAGAAAATAATTTTAATGTGCTAAAAAACTAAAATTGTTTATATTTCTCATCTATATAAAGGCATACTAAATATTATGCAATATTAGTTTATTAAACGCGGTTCAATTCTTTCAAAGAATTTGTAAATATTGCTAGTTTACAATTTATACATTTAAAGCATATTGGATTTTTATGCCTAATATTACAAAAAAGACACACAAATACATTTAATTATTAAGCCGTTGCCGCTGATGAAAAAATTAATTTAAGTACATAAATTCAAGAAAAAAAATTACCTTTAAATAGCATACAAGTTGATAAGTTGATCTAATTGTCTTGCGAAGTCGATAAATGGAGACTGGTTGGTGTTTCAAATTAAATTAAATTAAGACCTAGATCGAAAAGTAACGGTAAACTAAAGTGTGTTCTTGAAATAATAAATGGCATAACTATAAATTAATAAATATGTACATATGTTTTGTAGATTTTTCTCTTTCTTCGTCGTAACCACATTTCATTATTAATTGCTACTTAACTTTTCCTAACTATACAGGAGAGTAAGTCTGAGAATCTAGCCGGCAGTCTTACAAATGTAATGAACAATTATTTAAAGCTATGCTTACGAAATGAGGCTATGACGGTGGAAGATAGTTACCGATTGACGACTTTAATCTGTAATTGATGCAGCTCCGTTACATATTAATGGTATGAATAAATGACTTGTAATAAACCCATTGCTTAGCCTCCTTCCGCCTAACCCACACGAGATGCGTACGAGTCTTGCTGAATCATGACGTATGGACCACTATAGCAGACTTTTACGAGACGCAAGTCTGAATTTGACTACGTATGCATTACATGAAATTATTCCCTTCACGATATTCACCCCTCTCTACATTTTCTCTAAAAATAACTGATATAACCTCGTATCCCTCTTCTTTCGGTCCGAACCCGAGCCCTCGCTCGTTTTTCTTGGACCTCCCGTTAAATAACCTCGAGAACAGCCACCGTAATAGTAAATTAATAAAAAATAAAAAAAGAATTAAATTCTAACATTATCCTTTACCGTAAGCAGTTATTTCTTTATTACCAAGAGGGTTTTTCTTTATTTTCTATATGTGATCAGGTTGAAAAGCTAAAATTACTTTTTTTAAAGTTTCAGTATCCAATTTCATAATTTTCTCAATTAAGTCATGTAGATAATCATATTCGATATTTAACACAAATGCTAAGGTTTGTAGATGTAAAAGACGCATTCGATAAACAACCTTATCTAATTTTAAAACGTCTCGTATGTCATCACATCCAAATACTTCCCGCAAAGACTCTGGTAAAGAAAGCGTAGAGGTCGACGAATCAAAATCGAAGGGTTCGCTTAATTCTGGCGTAGGAAAATGTATCTCTGGTTGAGCATTTACATCCCAAGCTGGAACCGTCGGCAATTGTTGTGGATGGTTTAATCCATTCGCAACTGTGTAGTTTTGATTTGCAAAATGTGTTGGATAGACTTGTGGCAATAGTGAATTATTGTTCGCAATTGTATTCATTCTTGGAAAGTTGGGATTGTAGTAAGAAAAGTCCGTATTTTGAATATTTGCACCAGGCTGAAGCAAAGGATTTCGTAAGGGGTTTAGATAATTATCAATGGGTATTATGGGTGGCTTTATTTCGCCACTATTTGTAGCAGTCACAAGACAGTTTCTTTTGCATTTTCGATTATTTCTTGTTAGAATTGATAGCCTTTTTCGACCTCTTTTTGCCGCTGTTGGAATGGACGATCTCATGGTTGTACGTCTAAATGTAAGTAGTTTAAAAACAAATATACATGTTTAAATAAATAATATAATGTTGTTAGTATGATGATTACATGCAATTTATAGTATGCACCCTTACCCTTCAGTTTGCGGCTGAGTTGAAATTGAATCATTTTCGTTATTGGATACTTTTCGCTCTTTACCCTTTTTGAAATTTTTTTGTTGGGTATTGTTAGTAACCACTATGCTTCGACTCTCATTTGCTCCCGTTGGCAACTGAGCTAAGCAATTTTCGTGTTTGTCACTTCCGTTTTCCACACTTTCCTCCTCTTGGTTTTGATTTTCTAGTTCTCTTTTCCGATCTTCAGAAGGAAGACTGTTTTTCTTATCCATACAAAGTAAAACTTTATCCGTCTCCACATATTTATTATGAAGTCGTTGTGATCGACGCATTTAAGTAAATTTAATTTTTTTTTTTTAATCAAATAATGTAACTGAGGAATATGTTTTACTTCCGTTATATATTAGCTCTGTTCGGTGACTAGATGGGCAGTAACAATTTTTGCTGAATCGTGTCGTTGAGTCAAAAACTCAGTAAAATTAGTAACGAGAGAGCATAATTTTGACGTTTGATGTGGAGAGAAAGGTGTATTTTCGTGCTGGGAAAGATTCGACATATATGAAAAACAGCTAAATTTAATGGTATCAACGATCCAATTAAATAATTGAGGTACTCGTCAAATGAGAATGTGATGGCAGTGGAGTGGAATCATCGCCCGAGCCCACGTGAATGAATTAGAAATTTTTAATATCGAAGGTATAGAATTAGAATATATTATTTTTTGTACAGCGCAAATTGATTTTGATAATGTTCGGAAAACGAATTTCAAACTCATTGTAAGCTAAAGTAAGCTAAAAATTTTAGCAGGGCAAGTTTTACTTTAATCTTCTTTCATTACCAGAAAAAACATTTTGGTATCTCTATCGTTGAATGGCTACAATATAAGTAGAATTTCATCTTTGTTGAAATACAATAAATTTTGAATGCTACTAATAAATTAAAATTGCCATATATTGTCAATTTTACTAAAATACTTAAAAAAAACCTCACAAGCTGAACAAATAAACTGTGTAAGCGAACGGATTCAAACATAACAGCCAAAATTAACAGCTGTTTTACAGCTAATTTTTACTGCATCCGATTCGGTGAGAACTCAGTAACATTCTTCTTTTGGAGAGTAAAATATTTTAGGGCAACATCAGATATCGTTGAATGGCTACAATATAAGTAGAATTTCATCTTTGTTGAAATACAATAAATTTTGAATGCTACTAATAAATTAAAATTGCCATATATTGTCAATTTTACTAAAATACTTAAAAAAAACCTCACAAGCTGAACAAATAAACTGTGTAAGCGAACGGATTCAAACATAACAGCCAAAATTAACAGCTGTTTTACAGCTAATTTTTACTGCATCCGATTCGGTGAGAACTCAGTAACATTCTTCTTTTGGAGAGTAAAATATTTTAGGGCAACATCAGATTAATTTTTTGTGTCGTATTGCGTGACAGAATGACTTTGACGTTTCCCTCTATTACATATGTTGACACGCTAAAAACTCCGACTCACAAGTGTATTGTTTAACATGGTTAAACGTAAGATAAAAAAAATTAATGAAGCTCCCTCCTCTACCCAAAGGGCTTCCTTAACTTCATATGCCGACGATTGTTTGATATTGGCGTCCGGCCAGGATATTGATGATCTTTGTTCGTGAGTGAACAGCTATCTCGCCTACCAGTCCCACTTCTTTACCGCACGACAGCTTAAAATTCAACCGACCAAATCCTCGGCTACCTTTTTTACCATCTAAATACAGGTTTGAACTAGATGAGAAGGTTGAAAATTCCGAATTGTATACTACACCAATGCACATAAAGTTTTATTGAGCTTATTTGATTGTCTCCAAAATCCATAAGTACTCTGATTCGACTACATCGTTTTATCATTTCTCTAAACACATTGATTAGGGTAATCGATTTTAGTCGTTTTGATTTCCCGATATTGTTTTGCCATTACTATAAGAAAAATATTTATTATACCGGTGTTGTTTGAATATAAAAGTTGTAAAAATGACAGAAAACGATAGCAAACAAATTTCGAATCCAAATTTACAAATAATTCGTGATCCAAATTTAGCGAAAAATCGTATCTTTGTAGGCAATCTTCCGTCGTGTACACGAGAAGAACTGGAGAGTATCTGTCATCCCTACGGAAAAGTATTGGGTTCATTGGTACAAAAGAATTTTGGCTTCGTGCAATTCGAATCTGAGGAAGTTGCCAATAAGGTCGCATCTTCACTGTCAAAATCTATATTCAAAGGAAATGTTATTACAGTTAGAAACGCCTCCTCTAAACAACCAACTAAACGTCTGGCCACTGATAATCTTGCCGGTTCATCAAATATCAGCAGCAGTCACTTTGGAGGGATAGATACAACTGCTCAAAACACCAACGCAAACATGAATCCAGATTATAATGATTGCGAAATTATCGTAATTGATCGACGCAACACGTGAGCCACATCTGATGTTAAAGTATATACAAAATAAATAATATAATTTTTATGTTTTGTAGTAAATATGCTGAATACATTGAACAACGTCTTAAGGAAATAAGCTTGAGAGTCGATGTGCTTTTTCCGAACGAAGATGTACCTTTAGGAAAAGTGCTAATAAATATCTCTTCGCGTGGGTGTTTATATGCCATATTGGTAACACCTCAACATGAAGAACACAAGAGTATAACCGTTAATATATTGTATGGTCAACCAGCAGAACACCGTAATATGCCAGTAGATGATGCCATACAGTTGATATCAAAAGACTTTCGTCAGAAGATGGCAAGCGATGCTATTAAAAAATCTACATTTGCCGCATCTTTGGCCAAGGCAGTGCCAATGGTCAACATGGCAAACCCTTCACTGAAAGATCGTCATCCCAACGCGATTCAGACCCTTTTAAATTTATTAGCTGATAACATGCCTCTAACTGTACTTCAGTATGATAGGGTAATAAAATATCTTCAAGAACGCCGGGAAATGCAAGTGAAAATAGAGCTCGGTGATGCAGCAGATATAGCAAAAGTTCCAGACCCTGAAATTGAATTACAAAAGAAAATTTTTGACATCATGAATAAACCATCTATAGCTGAGACACATTATAAGTTACTGTACCCCACATTGGAGGCCGTCAAATCTGATTATGGTGTTATGGAACTGTTGAAAGACATTCGAGTCCAAAAAGCTCTTGAAGCATTAATGGATTCTAGTCTTGTCGGTACAGTAGAGAATTATATGAAGTTTTAATAATAAATTTATAGTTTATTAATAACAACATACAATTGGAAATCTGAACATTTGAAAAATAAACAAAATATGACTAACTATGGCCAAGAACGTTTTGCTTCATGTCCTTCATATTTGCCCCGATATCTCAAACCTGTCACAAGAGTTGAACTCTTTGGGAATGCGGTTTGACCTTTAAACTTAGTATCCGTTTCTGGATTAAAACGTACGTAATCATATTGGATGTGCAAATTTTCCGGTAGGGTGGCGGTCTTTAAAGCATCGTATGGTACGGTGGTGTTCACAGGAGTTTTGTAAAATTGAACAACGTCACCTAAAAATCAGAAATTGGTTATGCTAGAGAACAATAAAAAAATAATGATTTTGCCTTACCTATACTTTGTAATTCGTGAACTTGAGAATTTGGCACACTATGCTGAAAGCCTTGAAAGCATGCATTTAAGAATGTAAACTTCTCTTCTAAATTAGATAGTTTGTATTGATCAGCGTAAGATATTTGTAGATTTGAACATATTTCACGAACTTTTTCCGCAACATTTGCCGGTGGATTGTATGGTTTGTGAGAACGCAGAAACCTAAAAAAAATTCAATAACTTTCTTCTCCAACTAAACTCATTTTATTTATATTAATACCCTTTTGAAGCCAAAGATTTCCCAACATCGGCTATATTACGTTGGGGTTCTGCATGTGATTTTTTTGAGGGAGCAGTAGAGTATGCTAATTTCATGTTCCATTGTATCTATATTGATTTAAAAAATGTTTACTTTGTGAATACAGTTTTTCATAAAATACTCACATTTTTTTGGACGAAATGTTGAATATTTTTACATAAACTCATTCTGACTTAATTTTTTAGAATATATAATTATTCTTCTTTTGGTTACAATAAGCAGATCACAATGAAAATTTTTCACAAACTAGCAAAAATATTATATAGCGTTCACACTGCCAAGTTTATATTATACATTTTAAAAAGAAATTTGCTGTGGAAGAAGTTCGTGCTATGTGCCAAAGCGTAATGAAATCAGGTATTGACATTCCAGAGTGTATCTTATTATATAAAATAAGAGCAGGCATTCCTTACTGCTTATTGAAACCCCATGTAGCTCGGCATATTGTTTAAGTTCATTGTGCGCAGGGAAAATTTTCAGTAACTAAAATTATGAAATATTTATCTTCTTGGGATGGAATTAGAATTTTATTGTGACCCATAGGCTTCAATTCGACACCGTTGAAGAGGCAGAAGAATTATTTGCTGGAAATACCTGACTGGTATAATTTTTTGGATATTAATCGCATCAAAAAGAGGCATTCATGAAAGATATACTTTAGCTTTCTAAATTGAAATCAAGATGGGGGACTTGATTGCCAAGGTATGGACGTTCTTTGACCATAATGAAGCTTGAGTAGCGACTACATGTTGCTCCACCACCTCCACCTTTGACAAGTTATTCATATACCATGTGCGAACCGTTCAGTACCAAAGGGTTCAAAATGTTAAGAGAGGAGTGTTATATAATTTATTGCTGGATAAAAAAATACTCTATAAGAGCAACAACTTACACCTTGGTTCGACTTTGCCCAGAGGACAATGCTCAACAGGCGATTAAAAGATGAGCTGTTCGGGATACACTGGATCAATGCCATGGTTCTATTGCTGCTTCAGCTTAAATCCTTTAAACGATAGTTTCGCCATTTAAGGAGTAAACAATGTTTTTATTTTCTCTTAACACATTTGGTTAATTAGATTTTGATACAGAGACACATACATTTATTTAAGGATCCAAATATTTCATTAATTGATAACTTTTATATCGATCTCATAATTTTTAGGGAATAATTTGAAATCATTGTATATAGTGTCATCTCTAGTTTGAAAACTGTTGAACTTGACGGCGAAAATGCCGATCTAATTTGCAGGAGTGAATATAGACAGTAGAAAACAGCGCAGAATAGTTTCACTTCGGTTTTAAATAGTAATTATATTAATTTATCAAATAAACTAAGTGAATAGAAATCTTGCGCAAGAAAATATTAAGAATAATTAATTTGCTTAAATAGAATTTATATCGCATCAGCGGTGTATTGTGCTACAATTGAAGTGGATGTGGTGAGACAGATGTACAGACGTTGCATGTTGCAACTAATGCGAAAATGAGTACAATAGTTGGTGAATTTGAAAAAGTGAGAGAAAATCAATTAACCCACCCCCAGACACAACGTTGCATTTATTGAGATGGAAATTTATACGTGCAAAAGCTGAAGCTAATTTTCTTTTTAATTTATAATGAAATTATCAGAAATATATTAGTTTTATTTTTTGCCATTAAATTGCTAATTTATTATACAAAATTTCTAAGTTTCAAAGTTTGGTTATAAATATTTGAATTATTCCAAATATATAATTTTCTACTTTTTCCCAGTAATTTTACAGTAAAAAATTTAACATTAAAAATATATAAAGAAGTAGCCGCAAATCCAAAAATCACAAATTTATTGTTTATTGTCTAAAATGAAATTACAAAAATAGTACCAAAAATACATCACTGCCTTTTTAGCAGGAATTGGCTTTTTCTCTTATAATCGCCATTTTCGATTCCACAGTCGCAAATATCATGTCGTCGTTACCGTCAGCAATTCGATTTGATTTTGGTTAGTAGTGTTCGGTATTCGATTTTTTAATGGAAATTTTACTTTAAAAAAAGCGTCGGAATATAAATCGTCTTGTCCAAGGCTAAGTGTGAGAAAGCAAAAATTTATAATTAGTGTATTGCAAATCATGAAATAAATTAGACGGATAAATAGTCAAAAGACTTGAAAATATCGATTGGTATTTAGTAAAAAAAAAATAAGAAGAGTGCGAATGGAAAGTGGAGCAAAAGTGTACCATATGCATGTGTGCATACTCCGCATGTATGAAAGAGATTGTGTGTATAAGTAGATGCGTGAAGTGTGGATTACTCTTTTATACATATGTGTCGAAAGGAGAATATTAATAAGGGAAGGATGGAGGTAGCAAATTGGAGAAATATATAGTGATTTGTGCGAAAGTGTACAAAAGGAGATCTTTTTAAGCGGACACAAAAATATTCTTGATTTTAATATTCACATCTGCATATATCGTGTAGAATAGTGCAATTTAGGCTTTTTTTTGTGACCAACGGGCTGCCTACTATGGGGATCCAAACTATTCTAATCATATATACATACACACATGCATTCATTCCCTATTATATGCGGACAATCCGAAAAAACAATAGCTCATCTTTCTAAATATTTTTTTTTTTTATAAAAAGAGAGCCGTAGGTGTTGCAGCAAAAAAAGAAATGCAAAAGCAAAGTGATCAAACCAAAAATACCAGCAACAATAATTAAAGCTTGTATTACAATTACTACATAGTTTTAAAAGCAAGAAGAAAGCAACTACAGCCCAATGGGAGAATTGAAACAATAAACCGAGAGAAGAGAAAATATTTATTTTGCCAATTTTGCAGTTGTTTGCTATTGCACTCGCTACAGCAGTTGCTGTTGCTGTAGTTGTCTCTCTCGTGAATTGAATTTTAACTTGAACCAACGTTACTAAATAATTCCTCCGCCCCCACGCTAGTAAGTTCCAGTTTACGCCTTTTGAAAATAGCTGTTTGTTGTATTGAATTTTTGAAGTAGCTTAAATGCTACTGCTTGAAAATGATTGTGTCTACTACCTTACTAAGTGCATAAGTGTTATAGTTTAAGGTAGATGTGTAAAAAATGATTTTAATTGCTATAATCTATAAAATTTAGTGTTTTTATTTTGCTATTAAGAATGGTAGGTAATTTATTAAAATAATTGGAAAGTTTTATAGTTTACATTCTTCAAATTTGTAAGTAATTTTTTATAAACACTTCGTTGTTTTGAAAAAAAAAAAAAAAAATACTTAAGCTTGTACATAAATATTTGTAAAAAAATGTGTTATGAAAACGCGCATTGCAAACATTTGCTTTATTTTTTATCTGATTAGATTATTATTACTCACTTGATATTTAATCATGAATGAGCATTTCACATCTTCTTTATAAATTATATGAATCATACCTTTTTTGGAACAAAAGACTGGCGGGTTAGCTTTATTTAAAAAAAATACAGAGTAGTTTTACTTTTCCCCCCATAGTAGTTTAGCTTACATTCTAACTAAAAGCTTTCGTATTTAATACAATCGTAAAACCACTTATCTTTTGTCAGTACATTAATTTGTACAGGTTTCGCTTTGCTAAGATGTGAATTGTGATTATTTAGTTCCGTTGTTTGTACTTATCAGGGTCTATGAAATAACGTCTACATCCATTCGATGGGTTATTGGAATGTGGGTTCTGGTTATACAAAGTGGTTGAGGTCGAACGTATGTGTCGGCTTTTACTTAACTACCGCTCAAAAACAAAAAAGAGACGACATTGACGCGTCATCCGCTCTCAATCATCTCTTCCGTTCTGTTTCTCATTATTATATCTCTTTCAACTATGCTCTTTCAACAAACGAATACGTACCTAATTAGTTAATAGATTTCGGTTGCAATACTTATAGAGAGATTTCTGATAATAAATTAAGTTGTATTTTAATTTTGAAACTAAAAAAAATATGTATACATTTACGGAAAAGTTTGTAAATTAAGCCTTAATATTGAATTTAATGAGAATAAACGCAACCCTGTTACTAGTTGTTTTGTGGTTGTTGTCTCTTTCATCTGCGATTCGGTTCATTTCCATTTCAAAGTAGAAATAGAAGCAAAAGTAAAAAGCAAAATTTCCATTGTGTATTGACGACTTTGCAGCACTTGTATTTCGTTTATTCGTTGGTTAACATTTTTTCTTGTTCGCTGTCTTATGGTCAATATATTTTTATTTGGGAAAACAAAAAAAAAACAGATATTATTAAAAATTTGTCAGATGTTTGTGAATAATCACTATATAACGTTTAAAAAAATATTTATTATTATATTTATTTATGAGTAATAGATCAATTTAACTGTTTCACATCTATTATTGTGGTTGATCATTTTTATAAGTTCACGGTGGTTACAATGGTATTACATATGAACGTAGTGAAACACTCGTATAAGCAGTTCATGCTAATTTACGCATATGTATGCCTGTGTGTATGCATATACTTGAGGATATAAAAAGGGGAAAAATACACATCTGTTCAATAATTGCACAAAAAAATCAAACGAAAGGCAATATCAATTAAAACATTGGTGAAAGCAATGAACAAGTGAAAAGTTTAAGCATTACGACCTCCTTTGAAAATACCTATATTCATTTACCAGGTTAAACGTAATCCGCCAATAATAGAAATTCAAAATTTAAAAGTAACTCATATTCAGTGCAGTGTACATCAACGTTTGAAATATTTGTTACAATAAGAAAATACATCTACAAATCTTATTTGAACATGCAGTGGAAAATTTAATAAACTACAACCTACCTATATTTTTTTTTCTTTTTTTTTTTATAAATTTTGTCTACATCAACATCAACGATTAATAACGAAAAGCCAGCAACAAACGGTGAACCACAAGCAAAGCAACCAGTCATTCAGACAACGACCATCGACTTTCATCGCAATTCGCTCTCCTCTCATTATGTTGCGTCGCAACAAAGCAACAAAAAGTTTTTGAGGGGCATCGGTATTAGTATATTGTGATTGTGACTGTGACTGTGACTGTGACTGTTGTGTATATCGGAAACAGTAGTAGCGGTGTTGGTGCTACCCTTCATCATCAACACTGAATTGTGCACAAGAAAACAGAGAAAAAATTATTACATATATACATATATATTTACAAAATATAAAAAACATCTCCTTGTATATACTCGTCGTTCACGCTGCTGTTCCTTCTATCTACAATCTTAACGTCACCGGTTCTCACATCTCGCATCGTATACATTACGTCTGCTCGTTTCTTGGTCGCCGCTTACTCGTACCTCGTTCGCATATTCAGTTGCGCTGTTTATCGGTGGCGGTTTTGGTGTTTTTGTCGTACTGTTGTATATATGAGTCGTCGTCGTCGTCGTCGACATCGTCATCAGTTCCCAAACTCGTGCAAAAATTGCGAAGAGTAAAAATTTCATTGTCGCTGAGCGGTGTTTATGTGCATATGTGGTGCCTTGGTGAGAAATCGTAGTCGCACTAGTCGATCGTGAACGTCGGCAGAGTTGTTAGTGATTGTCAATGTACTAACTGCAGTGGTGTTAGTTAAATTGTGGTTGGTTGGAAATTTCGAAATTATTTACCTGATTCCGAATGTTAATTCGAATTGGAATTTTAATCCAGTATAGTGTTGGAAAGATAATACAGAATAAAGCAGTTTAAAAACGGAATTGTAACAAAAGAAATGAGCGAATGCAAACCAAAGATAGTGCTAAAATATAAGCAAAAAGGAAGGGAGAAATATTGAGATAAAAAGGAAAAAAGTAAGTTTATTACTGAAGATAATAAAGGAAGAAATATTGTTAATTTTCTCTGCATACGTAAGTTTGTTAAAAGAGTGTATAAGTGCGTGTTTAATTTATCAATTCGCACACGCTGGTTGATTTAACAGAAAATAACGAAAGATACAAAACGGCAATATAAGATAATATAGTATGTATGCTTGTACGTATTATGCATAAGTGTATAAGCAAAAATAACTGATATAAGCAAACGCCGCGGTAAATGACGTAGCCACGCAGCAGTAGAGATAAAATAGAAAATTATTATTTAATTGTAATAATATAGAAGCCGTGTGTTAGTGTGTTGATTTTGTCTTCAAGTGCTGTGTGCACTGCAGTGCAGTGGATTTCATAGTGTGCTTTTAATTTAATTGCAAAGTTTTTTGCCAAAACACAAATTGCTTATTATCAACGATAATTGAGAAAATGAGGAGCTGTTGTGTAAAAAAAATACATGAACTATGACGCATCAAAATCATCAGACCAACGGCGCTAGTTTGGAGGATTGCCATACAAACTTTTTTGCCCTGGTGAGTAAATACATACATTCATATGTGCATACGTATCTATCTATATTTAAAAATAAGTATTTATAAGATGAATTGTTGAAATAACGCCGGTTAAAAGGCACGTGAAATGAATATTTTTTTAATTAAAGTTCTTTCGGTCTAAGATTCGCTTTACATACAGTTGACAATTTTGGTATACATGAGTGCAGAATAATAACTCCTCGTCCAGGAAAAAATTAATTTGTAGATGTTGTTAGGAATATTTAAGTGAAGTCTATTAACACCAATAACAATGTCAGCCTGGAAATCCAACGCAGAATCACTTTTGCCAACAGGTGCTACTTTTGACCGAGCAGGCAATTGAAAAGTAACCGCTGGTGGAAGCAGAGGAAGACCTCTACTTCGTTGGAAGGTTTAGGTGGAAAGCTGGCTGGCTTCACTTGGCATTTCCAACTGGCTAATATTAAGCGGAGCAAACGCCAATAAAGAAAGAAGCGGGGAAATCCAAATTTTGAAAATGGCTATAAATTCTGAACCGATTTCTTTAATATTGAGACCGATGGAAAAGTCGGTGTTCTGCACTTGTCCCTCAGATATATAGTTTGAAATGTTGCTCAAGGCAGGACTCTTAGCCTTTTAGCAGGTTAATTAAATTTTTTCCAAATATTTTTAAAAAATTTTAAAATTTTTTTACATATATTCTTGAAAAAATTTTTTCTTAATTTTTTAAGAAATTAACTTACATTTGCAAACGAACACAAATTAAATTTTGTTTTTACAATGTTTTTAATATATTTTAAATTATTTTCCAAATGTTTATTTTAATATTTTTTATTTAGTAATATTTTGTTTAATCTTCAATTAATATCGTTTTGTAATATTTTTAAATTAGTTTTTTCAAAATAAATTTTCCTTTTCAATCTGGATTTTTATTTATTTATTTATATTATTTATACATATTTTTTTATGTATAATTCTTTTATTTTTTTACTTTTTTGTTTATTTTTTTTATTTAATTTTTTTGTGATGGTTATTTAGATGTTGCAATTTTTTTTACACGTACACATTTTTATGTACGAGTACGTATGTACGTACATACTTACATATAGTATAAATTTATGATGATTTGGAAGATGAAGCTAATTGTTCTGCTGACTTTCTAAAATTCTGTAAAGACATCATTGGTCTTTAGCTCGCTAATATTAATATTCTTTTTAGAATATACCTACTTATGTATGTACATATGAACGAGTAGTAAGTATATGTTGATATGTATTCAGATAAATATTAGTCAAAGATGGTTTGGATTTATATTCATTAAATTGGTTGCTATTATTTTCCATATTTGGAATTCTAATTTTCCTTGTGTTAATAGTTATGTCTGACATTCAGGTTCACTTACTATATCCCATATGAAAATAAAATGGTTGTATGTAACAAATTCTGTCTGCTTTTTCTGAGCATTTTTATTCACTTGCTTCGATGGCGCTGGGCTACTGTTCTTCTTTATTTAGTCAATAAACGAATATGTAAGTATATATATTTGTGTACGCGACGAGCACTCATTTCCAAAGTCAAAGTAAATAAAAAATGACAACAGTTTCATACCTAATTGTTGTTGTTGCTGCTAGTGTTTTTCGTAGATTTCATCCAGTACGATATAGACTTACATACATACCTACATACATAGCGAGATAAATAAATGTTTGCTGTTCGCTGTTTGCTATTTACAACAACGAATATTGTGAATTGCAAATTTTTGGCGCTTGCCACTCAATAAAGATACCACTACTCACTGTATTCACCGCTGAAGAGTCGGACCGACCGACCGTTCGCATGCTCCACATTCTTTCGCCGCTTTGGCCATGTTTTCATTTTCAATGCACACTCGATTCTCTTCTCATTTTCAAGGTGTACGTATAGGAGACTTGTTTGTTTGTATGTATGTTTTTGTGCATTAACATGTATATTCATATATACATACACGTATGTTCATACATACAGTTGCGTGCAACTAATTAACAACGACTTGTCCTTATAGATTATATGACCGTTTGCGTAAAATATCTTAGGTGTAAAAATGGAATTTTATTTTAAATTCTCTTCTATTAAAGTATGGTCCGATTTAGCTGTCAAAAATTCGTAGGAATTCCGTTATTTTGAAACAGTTAACCTTTTTTGTTTGCGACGTGTGTTAAATTCTTAAGATTTCTTTATTATATGTGTGTACGTAAATATTTTTTTTTTATGTTTTTATTAAAATATATTATTATTAAATAATAAAGTAATTTTAGTCACAGAAAAAAAATGGGTAAGAGTAAATCTTGTGATGAGTACACTAGGGCTGTTATCGTACGGAGACATTGTTAAGGCCCAAACGTATAGCTTTTAATGCTGTCAAGTATTTCAACAAGATTAAAACAACAAAACATGTTCAAGAAAGAAGAGAGGTTGGAAACGACCTCTTTTGGAGCACGAATTGATTATCCGCGAATTAAAAAACGATCCCCACAAGACGGCGAATGAAATTCGAGCTACGATTTCTCAAGAAAGTCCTACTGTACCAACTGTAGATATCGTAAAAAGGCGATTATACGAGGCTTGACTCTTTGGAAGAGTTTCAAGGGGTAGCCATTACTCTGTGAAAAAGATGCTTAGAGTTTGCAAAGAAATACCACCATTTGACGGCAAATGATTCTAAAAGGTACTGTTTTCTGATGAAACTAAGATAAATAGGGTTTCTTCAGTTGGGAAAACTTATGTCCGCCGGCCTCGATGCAAAGAGTTGAGCCCAAAATACACCAGGCAAGCTTTAAAACATTGTGTGTCATGTCATGACAAGGGGTTGGGCCTGTTTGCAAAATCGATGATGGTTTCAGGATAACATGGTAACTATATTAAACTGTCCTTCGTGCAGTCCAGACTTGAACCCAATCGAGAATCTATAGGCATTTTAGAAGAAAAGGGTTTGTTCCCATAAAGTTGAAAATTTCCAAGATTTTCGTGAAAAAGTTACACAAGAACAGAATCGCATTCCAATGGACATTTGCAAATTGACTCCACTAATGCCTTGTAAATGTCAAGCCGTTATTGACAATAAAGAGTTCGGAAACAAATATTAATTTAAAAATGGAAATATAAGCAGTTTTTTCATAAAATTAAGGCAGCGTTGCTAATTAGTTGTACGACCTATTTTTGAGTATGAAGTCGTAGAATGACTATTTTATAAAAGCTTTCTTATAGCAAGAAGAAATTGCCCAAATTACATTAAAAAATATGCACAATTTATCTTTAAGCCAATTTGATTTTTTCCTACCAGCGTTGTTAATTAGTTGCACGCATCTGTATATGGTAACATTGTTGTTTTTATTATTGTTTCTTCATATCTGAATATTTATATGTACACACACATTACACTACGTAAGTCAGTAGATTTGTTTTTAATTCTCGGTTTTCTTGCAATTTCATTTGCTCGTTATGCTCCATGAGTATTGACAATTAAATTATGCGAATTTTGTTTTTCTCACTTTTATTGTTGTATGTTGGTATTTTCTTTGTGTCTTTTTTCACTTCTACTCCACTGTTCCCACAACTTTCTTTTGCTCTTCTCTTCGTTTGGTCTTGCCAAAGTGGTAACTTCTGAGCTTCGTATGCCGTTATGATGACGTTAATGAGCATACATACAAACATTCGCACATATGTATCTTGTCCGGTGGCAACAATTCGTTGTGGAAGGTTGTGAATGTATGTGTTTGAGAACCTCACCATTTTCATTATTATTAATATTCTTCTTTGCTCAAACCGACACTGAGTTGCTTATTTATCGGAATTGGAATTAAATATCTGTTTGAAGTGGGTGTTATAAAACCGACTTGGTTTTGCAAAACCGATTTTTTCTAATCAACTGGAAACAAACATGAGCCAAAATCCCGGCAATTTACTTTAATTTTAAGCTAACTTCAGCCCTGACAGCATTTTTGATAGTAGACGAAAATGGAAAAGCCAGCGAGAAAATAATTCGTAAAACTTTAAGGGATTAGAGTATTCCGCTGTCAGCGATTGACTGCTCGGTTTTATACTGACACTTGTGCCGATAAGCTGTTGTGTAAATCAGTAATCCTAATGTGGAAACCTTTAAGCGCAATTTGCCGGTTTCAATTCGGATTTTGACAACATTCTGTTCTGTAACATCTGGCTCCAGTTGGAGCAGAATATTTCACCAAGGTCATCAATATGTATATGATCACTCTGGCTATGCGCGATATGTACCCGATGCTAAAACCGTGGAAGCCTGCCGACTAGGGAAACTCATATCGAAGACAATTGGTGCTCCCGTCTTTTACTCACCACCTGAGCTCAGAAGCACATCAGCATGGCTTTCGAGGAGTTCACAGTATCGTCACGGCTTGTACACCATAAATACCTGGGTAATCCATGGCATGGAGTACTAGACTTGGGAAGACGCCGCACAGAAGCATGTACAACGATTCGCTGGGCAGGACGATGTACAGACAGGCACTAAATGCCATTCACCAGGAGTTAGTCAACACCTTCAAAAATTACCTTCAACCAAAGCAGATGAGCTGCCTCGAGAGACCCGCGTAATATTGTCTGGATATTGTAGGAAGCTCGAGCTCTTCCTCCGCTATGGGTGGTGGTTTAACTCCGATTACGTTATTCATAGGAAGAGAGTCTTTGAAAGTGTTAACTGTCTCCTGGTGAATGGTGTTCAATGCTTGTCTGTACGCCGTCCTGTCCAGCGGATGTTGCTGGATGGCGTCCCTCAAGTATAGTATGATATGCCTGGGTGGCGGTTCAGTCTAAATAAGATGCCTATTGGGATGTTCCCTGTGGTAGCATCCCAATAGGAATTGCTTGCTCTGCAAATCATTGTTCTTCTTAGCTCGTAGCATAGATGCTGCACTGTGCAAGTGATGCTCCTCCGACATCAGGAGATTTCCTTTCGCGGTCCTGAGGGCGGTGTTTTGGCAGGCCTGTAGTTTCTTCAGCATAGTTTACGACCGGCCAGGCCAATTGCTTTGTAAGTTGCCAGCAAGGTTTCTTTGTCTTTACCCCAGGTGCTCGCGTCTAGCGCTTTGAGTATTTTGTTGCGGCTCTGGAGTTTTGCGGCAATTGCGGTCGTATGCGGTCCGTCTAGACTAATTAGCATGTTCTTAAGCGGTGTTGGAAATGCCGCCACGACAAAATCATCACAGACTATCCCTTTTAAGATACACCCTCACTTACTTCTTTATAAGTTGGGGAGAGCAAGATTTGAAAATCTAACTTTGATAATCAAAAAATAAAACCAACTTAACGCCACTTTAAGTTATTTAAGAGTAATAATGTTTTGGACAAAAAATCGTTTATGTGAATAATTATTTTTATAAAAGTTGTATAATCGCAATAACAAAAATTTGTATTTTTTATATTCATTTCAGACTGATTTATGCGGAATTAAATGGCGTAAGTTCGTCAACGGCGAACGTGTTAATGCGTCTAGTGATCCATTAGATGACCCCATCCTGCACTCCTATTCACGATGCATGCAAGCTGACATTCTATGTGTTTGGCGACGCATACAATCGACCAAGCAGGATAATTTGGATTTAAATCCGATATTTGAGATTAGTTCATCGAAAGTGCATCCACCACTTTCGTTAGCCGCCGCCAAAGAGTTATGGATATTTTGGTATGGTGAAGAGCCAGACCTGAGTGAACTGGTGGATGCTGAATTACTAAAAGTTGCCGGTAAGTAAAATAATAATTGTGCAATTATAGATCAAGATTTTCGGTGGGTTTCTCTTTGGGCAGAAGTCTTGAGGATTTTAAATCTCACGCGATTCAGAAACTTTTATTGGAAATGCTTTGTATATGCATGCATACATACGTTTAATGTATGCTTATCATTTGGAATAATGACAAATGTTGTTGTTTTTGTTCTAACGGTTTGCTCAACTCGGCTAGGAGCATTGAGATTCAGAGGAAGGGGAGTATTAGACGATTTGGTTTTGCTGGGAATTTAAAGGGATGGGTAGTGCAGGCGGGAATTCATTGCATACCTGTGTGACTTTCAGACCGGGATAGATACGACCTGAGAAGAGAGTTTATAAAAGTGTTGACGAACTCTCTGTGAATGGCATTTAGGGGCTGCCGTGTCTCTGTTATGTAAGTTGCCTTTAACTTTATATTTTCCACAGGTGCTATCGGTCAGTGATCTAAGCATTTTCTTTCGGCTCTGTACTCAGGTGGTAACACCTGAACACCAAGTAACTGGGGGTTTTATTATTGTTGGGATTTCGACATCGTCCTAGCCGGTACCCCTGCGCCCAGATGGTGAAGAGGTTAGCCCATGATTTCGCATGCTTCAGTTTTAACTAACTTGGAGTGATGACGTGGAAGGGTGGATAAAAAGTTAACAAATCTCCATAAATTATTTTAATTTTATTTGTTGTTTTTCGTGACAAAAAAGTGCAGGCCCGCGCGACTTTAGGGCTCACTGTATTAATGGGAGCTCCTTTCAAAGTAGATAAAATTGATGTGGCGCGGTTTTATTGACCGCAAATGAGTTTTCCATATGTGTATAAATACATACATACACGTATGTACATACATATGTATGAAGAGTATGTATATGATATAAAATAAGTTGTATCTTTTCACACATAATTTTTTTTTTTTTTTTTTTTACTTTTTCGCTTTGTTATCGTTTTCGATTAACAATACAATACCGCGAAACACTTTCTCTTTTTTATATTTTTTCGCTAAATATTCTTTATGCAAAAATATACAACAAAGGCGGCAGTGAATGTGTAAAAAATGACTTTATAAAATGCAATCGTGAGAAAAACGAAAAAGTTGAATGCCCGAGAGATGTGTGCGAGCGATGTACGGATGGATGGTTGCTTGCTTGCTTGCCTGCCTGGTTGCTTGGGTGATGGGCATCGGAAGAAAGTGAGGCAATAAGCGGATAGAGCACATAGCAGGTGATGATTACGACGGTTCATGTGCCCATGTACAGACCAACAACGCCGCCACGCAACATGCATACAATTACATATACATACATGTCCATATATACATACATATGTATGTATATTGTGTTTGTGATTTGTGTGCTTATACAGGTTAGATACGACGTGATTGCTTGCGCGAGGCTGACGACTGAATTTCTTTATACTATGTGTAGACGGGACAAGGGTAGTTCGATGGAATTTCGAAATGCTTTGTTTGTAACTTCCTGTGAACTTCTCACAAGGCATTCGCATGCATTCGGAGATATATGTACATATATACGTGCGCATACCGCTTTGACAGTTTTTAAGTTAACTGAACTTTGTTTAAAAATTAGTTCAGTTTTTTACTTGTAAAATCAAAATGTTAAAGAATCGATTTTCACTGATTCTGATGTGCACACCGTTTAACGATAAACGGCCTTGCGACAGCAAGAGCAACGACAACAACAAAAAACAACCATAATAAAACAACGGTCTCAACCAATTTAACGCAACTCATCCGTCGACTCGCATCTGAGCTGCCGCCGCCGGTTAGAAGTGTCGGTGAGTGTGCCATTCATCTGCCGCCGCCCGCTTGTGTGAAAATTGGCAACGCCGCATCAACTTAGTTTTTTTTTTTAATAATACCAGTTGTTTGTGTGATAGACGTCACAATCTGATTTCATGTACAAATATATGTATGTATGTACGACAAGTACGAGTATACATACATTTATGTATGTACATATGTATGCACGTACATTTGCGTATACCCCAGAGTTTCACAGTTTCTGTGGCGTAAAACAGCTGTCGTGTAAATGCTAATGTAGTGGTAATCACCTCGCACTACCCACCACATACATATTTACATACTTTTTACAAGTTTTATATACAACTTTGTACTAATGTATGTATATTTTCTGTTTCTTTTTGGTTCTTTGTTTTTCCAATTTTCTCTTCGCGCAGTTATATTGTTTACGTTCGTTTCCTTCATTGCTTAGCTCTTGGTTTCTGACGTTTCAAAGGAGAGTGGCGAATGTTGTTCTCTTTGTAAAATACAAATACACATATGAAGGTGTATGTTTTTCTCAATTTGCTGCAATCATCACATTCTGTGTGTTTGTGTTTGTGTGTGTGTGTGCTCGCGTGGTATGCGCAAAACAAAACACAATAGGCTTTTATAGATATGGCACATATAACCTGTTTGTTCGACAGTAGAGGGTATGTCATGGGAAAGCCTCAATATACATACATCCATACCTACAGATAATATATGTTTGTATATATGTATGTATGTAGATATATTTGCTAGTAGCTGTCGCATTTTTAACTACCAACTTGTTAACTATTATGCTTCATGCTTTCCACTTGTAGATAAATAATAAATATACGAAACTGCCTTTAATCGTAACAACTTTAAATATGTAAAAATTAGCTCTTTTTGTTGCCTATTTATTACGTATGTAAAAGGACACAATTTGTAATGCTGTACTTTTATATACACGTATGCATTTGCATATTTTTTAATACTAAATTATTTTTTTAAAATATTTCACATTTTATATATGTATTCTATTTCATTTGAATATTAGTTGAACTCACAAAGGGCTTGACATTCCCCACCGCCAATGAAAAAATTAATTAAACCACGCGTAGGAAGCCTGGCCATCCAATTGTTGGTAGGCAATGCTAATTCACTTGCCACTGTGTCCGAAAGAAATGTATTATCGAACAAAAAAAATTAATTAAAAAAAAATATTAAAAATTAATAAAATTGAATTAAAAATTTGTATTAAAAATAAATAAAAAAATATTCAAAATAAATCAGAAAATAAAATTTTTGAATATTAATTAAAAGTTCACTAACAAATTTTTATTTTCGAATAAAAGTTCAAAAAATATTTCAGGGATAAAACAAGGCACATTCACACACGGTTTAAGCAAGAATACAAAAACCAAATGCCTATGTATTTTGTTTGTATAATAATAGTTTCGAAAAGTCTAAAACGAAATTCGTTCAAATACATTGCTTGCTGCATGCTGCTGTAATAAAAAGTTCGTAATGACAAAACCTATTTCTCATGTATTTTGTTTGTGGAATTTGTTGAAATGGAAGGAAGAACAAGCAATCATATGATTTGAGAACTTCACCTTTAATAAATTCGCCTTGGGAAAAATTAAAAATAAAAAACTTACACGGGTACAAAAATATACATATATATTTTTTAATACAATATTTTCGAACAAAAGTTCGTTAAACAAAATTTACATATAAAAAAATTAAAATTTTTATTTTCGATTTAAAAAAATCCCTAAGCAAATCATATTCAAAATAAGTTAAATAAAATAAATGCTGTAATTATTAAAGTTTTTATTTTTTTTTAAATTAAAATTAAAATTTCTAATTTTTTTTCCAAATTAAAAACATTTTTTTGGGCTTGCAATGAAAGAAAAGTTATTTTTGATAGAAAGACTTTGTGGTTTGTACTCTTTTCTCATTTACTGTGTGAGTGTTGTTTATATGACTGGATACAGATATGTAGATAAGTATTTACATGCGTACATATTTATCATGCTCTCGACTTAGCAACGTATACGGCAACGTGTGAACATGCGAATATAATGACCCTCATTGGAAATTGTATGCACATATATCCACAAAACATATCAAAATAATAACAATACAATACACACACAAACAAATACAAGCCAAAAACATCTCTATGAATAGCAGCTTGAAGATAAAACAAAATTTTGCTGTTTTTGCTTTGCTTTCATTAACGGTGTCTACTCATCGTCGCACGCCTGTTAAGTAGCACTTTGCTTCTTTTTAGATTTACCCGCATCCGTAAAATCAACAAGCGTACATAAATCCTTATATACATTTCCACAACTGTAGGTATGTATGTATTTTTGTGTGCGAGTTTCTTATTTCAGTGTCGTGCTTTGGTCTCATTTTACGGGTTATTGCACTGCTTAACGTTGAACGTGGTGGACGACGCACTAAACACACATGGAGATACAATCAAACATACACACATATACATGTAAATATGTATGAATTTTAAACGGAGCGGCACAGACCGGCGAGACCTGCTAGATAAAGCGGTAGGTCGGTCGTTTGGTTAGCTGTTAGCGGGTTGGCTGATCGCTCGATTGGCCTGCTTGTGATGCCTGCTGACAATGAAGAAGCAAACAGTTGTGAATAACAGCAAATAAAGTCAGATGTACATACAGATGTATGTATGCATGTAGAAGTAGAGAGGCAACGCCAATTCCTAATTTTGTGCTGTCAAAAAGACATTTGTATGCATGAAAGAGAACAAATCAACAGAATGTCTGCTTACTGCAATGCTGGTTGCGGACTTTTGACTGCTGCGCTCGCCAAACCCACGCGCTCTTCATAGCGTAAACATTCAATATTTGTGTAAAATTTGGTAGGTGGAACAATAACAACGAGAACATAGACCGCATACTTAGCGGTGTATAAGAAAATTAAGTTAATTTACCGCTATCATTTTATGAAGTTGTAGTAGTAGTATACATATGTTAATTTATTGTAGACACTTGTTGTTGTATATTTCTTTTTCACACAACTATTTTCGTTGTAACTTGAACGAGTTTTCTTTTCTGTGAAAAAACGTCAAATACGGCGTTGCCTATTTTTTAGTTCGCACTGTAAATACTGTTTCCCGTAGACTTCTTGACTTGTTCAACTGGCCCAAAGGTTTCTTAATATCTGATTTTTGTAACAAC